TTTTTTGGAGGGGGTGGGGTGTTTGGTGGTTTTTAATTAAATTCAGTCAAATGGACATTTAAGACATTTTGATATTTAATTTACATCACTCTATTATGCCTATCACTTTTAAGGCTACGTACATGACGTGCACATTACCTGGCTTGAAACACTCGTATCAACTTTAAATTTCATATACTTGTGAGTAAGGACCTGTCATAATATCTTTATGATATGTGATATTCTTTACATGTATGTCATGTAACCATATCATTATATAAATATTGATTTCAAAAAAACATAAAAGTCATTTATGGCACCTTTTTTGCACAGAGCTATATATAATGTAATAAAGTCTCTCTTTAAATTACTTACTAGGATGCACTAGGCCGGGAAAATTTAAATTTTCATTTATGCATTATAATTATCAAGCGATAAGGCTTAATTAAGATAAAGTAAATGGAAATTATACGTGTTCATTTTGATATACCTTTGTATAACAAAAATGGAATGATGAAGAGCTGTGAAGACGGAAAATGATACGGACTGTGTTGAAGAGCAATGGGCTACTTTCCAATTTATACCGAACTTTATGGATTGTTGAATCCACCCCTTTCCTTATATTTGGTGGGTCGCAATGAGAATGAAAACCTTTTAAATATTTTATGGTATTTTGTTTTACAGATCGAATGATTTTCTGAAGAATTCATTATGTATACTAAAGAAAGTCAAATTTTAACAAAAACACATGTCAAGATTAACATCGCTTGCGGCACTCATTGCTTCCTAGGATGATATGTACTGTTTTTTTTTTTAAATAGAACACTATTTCTTAATATGTAGATGAATTTACCTGTCCCCACAGATTTTTAAACGCAACCCCAACACAATATAGCAACACAAGACCACCGCCAAGGAGCCCAGCAGGACACCAAACAAAAACAGGGAAGGTCACATATATAACGCAAAAAAGGGACGGGGCGATCACTTTAATAATAGGAAACAACAGAAACCGACAAGGAAATTAAAGTAGACGATTTTTTACGGTAATAGGCATCATCACTGCTTGGAGTTTAAACCGTTTATGGTGCACTTAACCCCACTCATAGCTCCCACGATTCGTTTAAACGAGACAGTGTAAAAATGAATCACAGGCAAGTAAAATTCTAACAGTTGTTATGGTTACAAAAGATGAAATAAGTAAAACACGGAAAATACGATGTAGATAAATATAAAAGTAAACCCAATGACCGTAACAAAAGTATTCAAAGACAGAGCAGCAATAAAATCACCTACACGGGCCCGACGAAGCAAGCAGAAGACGAAAATTAAGATCATTCATTCCTAAAAGGATTAACGAACTGTCCATCATAGAGCTCCATTTGGTACGTCAGATGTAATCAAAAGAGGAAGCGTAGCCTCCAACTATACAAGGGTTGAACATAAAGCATTTAGTAAATATAAAAAAAAAACATCAACAAGTTTTGGTGACCCGGGGGCAGAACATGCTTCTTCAAATTAATATTCCCCGTCCCATTCAATTTGCACCTATCAGCTAAGGTTCACGAATAAACTCGAACGTTGTCTCAGTATGTTTTCAGGATATTCCTAATAGATAACTATTTGAAAAACCCTTTCCTAGCCCTTTTGAAATGAGTCAGCTCTGGGTCTAGGGCATAAAATAAGTTCGATATATAATGTCCCAAACTAACAACAATTATTTTTTCTTGCCCTCCCTGTTCTACAATTTGCATACATATATGTACATTTACCCAGGTGTCCTTTCCATTTTTGTCATGTTTTATACTATTTATATTCTGTACTCTGCTGGATCAGTTTGGGTATCTATCAAGTGGCTGTTGTGTGTGTTTGGGGGATACAACATTCAGTGATGGCTGCTTTCCTTTTTATTTTGTTTTCATATCATATCCAGTTTTATAAATACGCATATATGTATTAATAGAAAAATTCATTGACTTATTTTCTTTCTAAAATAAATCCATCAAGGCTATGTACAACTTGATTTCAAGATTTATTCAATACTTTTATGGTTCATAAGAACATATGGCATAAATTTCAAAATTGTGAACATGTAACAACCGGAACACATGAAATATACGTAAAAACGGGAGAATTAATGAGTGACAATTATATTGTACCCGTAAAATAAGTAATAGAAAGAGCACCGAAACACGAGGCTATCTGATTTGTACGAGGGGGCGTATTAATCAGATTGCCGAGTGTTTTGGTGTTCTTTCTCTTTTGTATCATAGTCAAACATAAAAACACGTTCCTTAATGTCACAATATGAAACCCCGGCAAAAATGAACCAATGAACGAACATCTGAATATGATATTTCTGTCGCTTTCCCTTTCTCTGCCGTCACAATATGTAAACCCCAGCAAAAATGAGCCAATCAATGGGCATGCTCTGGAGTGCGGGTAACTAATACCCGCACTCCAGTTAACGCACGGTGCATGTATATGTATATACGATTTAACCCTGACACATTTTCAACAGAAAGGTCTCCAAACTATGATACAAATTAAAGATATGACTAGATTCTTAATAATAACAGAGACCTTAAAATACATGTTATATGTCTCTGTTGATAACCGAAATTTATGTTTCATAAACAAATTTTTCTAGGAGATTAATGATACAATTGATACTAATTATTACTTGCATGTTGTGATTATTTAAAAAACATGACAAAATTTGTAAAATGTTGGTGTTTGACACCTACTTGGGGTAAAATGATTCGATTAGGGCAATTCATGTGAATTCGATTGGTTGCTAAAAAAACCAAATACAGTCTACTTGTATACCTACACTTCCTTTTCCGGTTCAGTCTCAGGTTTTAACGTTTGTTTATTTAGATCAAATTTACATCCTTCAGAATCTATGTAACTAGAGCCTTTGAAACACATTATGTTCAAATTATTGAAAGCTTCTTCATTTATCTTACTACTCAAGATGTCGTGTCCCGGTTTAACGCCTTAATGAACTTGTAATAGTCGTTTAAATTTACCGTCCTAGTCTGATGTTTCTTCAACAGTCCCGCAAATAAACATGCATGTAACGATCTACATCTACATCTACATTGTACGTCGGCGCAATCACACTTGATTATGACGCGACGGGTGGTGCTAGGTCAAGAAAAAGAAATATACAAGAAATGATAGAAAGTAAGAAGAGGTTGGATAGTACAAAGATAGAGATATAGACAAAAAGTATGGCCAGCTATATTTCGCCTCTTCAACCCAAACCTCTCCGGTTACGGTGGCCGCTGCCGGCACAGCCTTGGATATCACTAGTGGGTACTTGTAGCTGGGCCCCTAAGGCGACTTAGAATGTGAGGGCTGATAGCCCCTGCTTGAAGGATACCAAGTCAGGAGCCTCTGCAACGGAGGCAGGTAAGCTGTTCCATATCGTGGCTGTACGAGGGAAGAAGGAGTTCTTGTAGTACGATGTAGATGTTGATGGTAGATGGAACTTCTTGGAGTGGTCACTTCTAGTGCGGCTCGGGGCAGGGGTGAGATAATCGCTGACTGGTATGTCCACAAGGTCATTGGTGATCTTGAACATCATGGTCAGCTGGGCTTTGGTCCGTCGTGACTCTAATGTCTCCCACTCCAAGTGTTGGATCATTGAGGATACGCTGCTTGTGTTGTGGTAACGGTTCGTCACATATCTTGCAGCTCTCCTCTGGACCATCTCGAGCTTGCGTGTAAGGTCCTTGGTATAAGGGTTCCAGATGGTGGAGCAATATTCAAGGCCTGGTCGCACGAGTGACATGTAGGCTGCGCTCTTGACCTGTTCATTGCTGATGCGCAGGTTGCGTCGAAGGAAGCCGAGTGTGCTGTTGCCCTTCTTTACGATCTTGTCAACATGTTGATTCCAGGAGAGGTTTCCAGACATATGGACTCCGAGGTACTTGGTTATCGAGTCTATCTCGAGTGTGTGGCCCTTCAAGGAGTACGGGTATATGATGGGGTTCCTCTTCCTGTGGACCCTGATTATACTGCATTTCTCTGGGTGAAAACTCATGCCCCAGCGTTTCTCCCACAATGCCAACTTCTTCAGGTCATCCTGCAAAACGTGGCAGTCCTCTTCAGTGTTGATTTCCCGGTATACCACACAGTCGTCAGCAAAGAGTCTGGCTTTGGACGTGACATGAAGTGGCAGGTCATTGATGAAGACCAGGAAGAGTATGGGTCCGAGCACACTTCCCTGGGGGACTCCGCTGATAACGGGTGCTGGGTCGGACGTTGCTCCATCAAGAACTACGCGCTGAGTGCGGCCTGTGAGAAATGCCTCAATCCACTTCAAGGTATGGTTTCTGATGCCATAATGATGTAGCTTGACAAGCAAGCGGCTGTGTGGGACGCGGTCGAAGGCTTTGCTGAAGTCCAGCACAGCGAGGTCATGTTGTTTACGTCTGTCCATGGACTTGATGAGCTCGTCTGTCAGCGTTAGTAGCTGGGTTTCGCAGCTCCGCCTTCTTCTAAATCCAGATGTTTCTTTTGTCATGGGATTTAAACGTGGCTAAGCTGCTACTCTGAAGCGACTAAGTCTCCTCAAATAATCATTTACCATTTAAAATGACAGTATATGATCATCAATTAAGACAAGTCGAACGAATAATAAACTTAAAATTTTAATTTGACAATAATTTCAGACAAACCCTGATGTAATATGTTATGGTCTGGCATTACGAACGGATAAAAGTTATGTGACAGTGTTTATATGTACACATCGTCGGTGTAAAAAGCTCATCAGAGCTTATGTTTATTGTTGATGTATCCGACTTATAAATAAAATTGACTTGACTTGATTGAGCGGCTATATCCTGGATTAGACCCCGGGGTCTAAACCAGGAGTATATATAAGGTTCATTCCGTTTTCTCTAGTGTATTATATATACAAGTTTTTTACTCCTGAAAAATACATAGAGGTCTAAACCAGGAGATTGCCGATTGAGCATTAATGCATGAAACAAGTAAAATTGTTTTGTACAAGTGCTATGTGTTAAAGCTTTACTGAAAAGTGTTGTATGTATAGAGTTATAATTTATATTTATGTTTATTTATTATTTACAGAACCAATATGACGAGATACGCTTCAGAACCAGAGAACCCCTCAAAATGTGAGTTCTTGTGTTTGTTTACAAACATTTAATATGGGGAAGACAAACCGTGGGCCCGGGCTTTGGCTTGCCCGGCTATAGACTACACGTGTATATTTAAAAGAAAATCAAATAAAAAAAAAAAAATAAAAAATATGTAGAATTCTATACCTATCAATAAAAATTTTCAGTGTCGGTTTTAGTTAGGGGCCGCCATTTACAATGTTACTCAATGATAACGGAACAAATCTCAACTTTTCGGATTAATAATAATCGTCGAGGGTTCCAAGTGAAAACGGAAGCGGGTACATATAATACTGAATGACACCTTTAAAACGGAAAAATGAAATGATTTTTTTACCGACTTCCCCGTTCATAGGCTTTGACTAATTTCATATTATCATTTTAAAAGTTATTTAATATCATTTTAAAAGTATCATTCACTTGAATTTTTTACAAGCTTTATCATGGAAAATATATCACAGACATGTCAGTCTTTCAGTTTGGACAAAATAAAATACGACCTGTCATCAGAAAACCACAAGGTAGTTGGGTTAGTGGTTGTCAAAATCTACTAATTGGTTCAGGTTTAAATTAACACATGTACAAGCCAAAAAATATTTAACTTTGAAAGTGGAAAATTGGATGAAGAATAATGAATCCTGTAGTAATTTTGTAGCTCTTTTCCTTGAATTGGGGTTAACTTGCATAAATTTGAAATTCATTTCATTTTCAGAAACTGATATTACTAATTTTTCATAAGCTAGTTATCCAGAGCTCCAGATAGCGTGCGTATAAGCGTAAAATACGCATAGAAATTCTAAAATACGCATCACTTTCAAAATTCGTGCGTCAAAGTTACGCACAACAAAATGAAAATACGCCTGTATGTCCAGGGCCAAAAAACCCTTCTTTGTAGAGGCCGTATATAGGCTACTTCCCCAACAAAACTAGCCTCTTTTTTTCCCCAGTTTGGTCCTCAAAATTCCCCAGTCTTTTGAAATTTCCCATAGAATTAAGAACAAAATTAAATGATGGTGTTGAATTATGGATTTTGACTGCCTCATTTGTATTTCCCAGTGCTTTTTGCTTTTCTATTTTAAAGAACTTGTTAAAAGTTTGTGTTAAATTTGAGACCCCTTTTCCCAAAGTATGCCAAAATCACGCATATTTTCCCCAAGAAAAAGGCTGAGGCCCCTTCCCCAAAAATGGTGTTTTGGCCCTGATGTCAAAATTTAAGCGTGAAAGAAAAGAAGTGTAAACATTCGATATTAAGAAAGAGGATGTTTTGAGCATAAAAATACAATATATTTCCATTTTATTGCATTGAAAACTAAAAATTCTGTTGTCAACAACGCATGTTTAAAACGAAAGTAGCAGGAAGTACAGAAGAGAGGTAACTCGCGTAACTCAACCTGTGAAATTATTGATAAAATTTGTTCCAGATAATCATCGTAGGAGTTAACATAGTATTAAGTTTGTTTTGGCATCTGTTGACCAGTGATTTTCCTACTTATATATCAGACTCCGAAAAAAGGCCTCTTCCCTATTGAAATTTTCTTTAAAATCATGCAGTTTTCCCAAAAATCTGAACTTAAACCAGCTTTTTTACTTCCCAAATCAGCAGTTTTAGCGATGTTTTTTCCCAAAATCAAGAGGCTAAGGCCTCTTCCCAATTAAGTGAGAAAAATCACTGGTTGACATGCTTATGCCTCAATGTAAACAGAAATATATTTTAATTTCTTTCACTTTTGTTGTGGGAACAAAATAACATGTTTTTCACCTGCAGTTTTGTACTCAATATTTTCGTACCCAGTCTACAGTTACGGACACTTCTCTCAGACCAATATTTTTTTAAGGAAAGATGAAAAAAATCTTGTTTATTTTTTCTTTAATTCTAATTTCAACTATAATTGTTCAAACTGGAGTACATGATAAGATACATGCCAACAGAAATAAAGAAAGAAAATATTGACTCCTAGAAAATAAAATAATTTCAAGGCATCCACTCCTTCATTTTGGCTTTTGACCTCCTAAAATCTAATACTTTTCCTTCTATACCTAGCCCTATATAATGTGACTTCCAATATCAGAGATTTTGAAGTCTTTGACTTCCAAATTTTGAAAATGGAAATCCTGATAATTTTGCTGTGTATCCTTAACTTGAGTTCCAGTATACTCTGGAAGTCTGCCTTTGCAGGGCATGTTTTGTATTGTTTCACATTGAATCAGTATTTTATTTGTAAAGGGTTTTCTAAAAAAAGAAAATAAACAAACAAACAAAAACAACAAGTTTAATTTGCTTATAAAAAATGCAAAATGCTTCTTTGACAGATTTTACCCCTTAAGTTTTTCAGAATTTGCATTTTACCCCTCACTCTAAATTTTGAGGGGTAAAAACCCCTTGGCCAAAAAAATTATCTGGAGCTCTGGTTATCAATTGAATTTTACGGGCCTGATCAAAGTTTTACTTGCTAGTGGCCTTTGCGCTAAACTCTCACACAGAAACAGTTTATTCTTTGGTAATTTGACATTTTTTTTGTCAAATTTTCAATGAAAGAAAAAGTACAATGATCAGACAGCAGGAATGACATGCAGGTTGGTCATGGTCTCCCTAGTTACTTGGGTTTATGTACTTGCGGCCAGCAGGCTTTGTCTTATATTTGATAGTTGAAAATATGTTCTAATTTATAAAGATGTTTTTAATACAAATCTTTCTTCTCATTTCAGCGGCAAAAGCCAAGGGTTCCTATCTCAGGGTTCACTTCAAGGTATGACCAGTATAAGTTTTTCATAATTCGTGGCAGATATAATTATTTAAAAACATTCACAACTGACTAGATGCTAGATTGAACTTTAAATCTCAAAATTAGTGTTTATAACTTTGAAAGTGGAAAGGAACTAAGAATTATGAATCATGTAGTAATGACTAATTTTGTAGTTCTATTGCCTGAATTGGGATTAAGTTAACTTGTATAACATTATTTCTCTAGCTTCATATATATAAATTTATTGTAATAAACAGTAAGCAATTACAATCAAAAGGTATAAACATGAAAAAATTCATTATGACAAGGTGCAGTTTTAGACTAAGGACATAATTCTGAAAGCAATTTTTGGAGTTGGGTCTCTTTTTAACTTACAATTTTAACCGACTTTTAACTTCTAACATTTTTCCAAATTTATGCTAGGGGCCTTTTTCCAAAATATAGCTTGAAAGGCCCTGTTAAATGATGTGAAAGTATCATAATCTACTTACTTGTTTTTTTAGCTCACCTGTCACAAAGTGACAGGGTGAGCTTTTGTGATCGCTTTTCGTCCGGCGTCCGTCGTCCGTCCGTCCGTCCGTAAACTTTTGCTTTAAATGACATCTCCTCATAAACCACTGAGCCAATTTCATCCAAACTTCACAGGAATGTTCCTTTGGTGGTCACCTTTAAAAATTGTTCAAAGAATTTAATTCCATGCAGAACTCTGGTTGCCATGGCAACCGAAAGAAAAATCTTTAAATATCTTCTTTTAAACAACCCTAAGAGCTAGAGCTTAGATATATGGCATGAAACATCTTCTAGTGAGTGTCTACCAAGTTTGTTCAAATAAAAGCCCTGGGGTCAAAATTGGCCCCGCCCCAGGGGGTCATTGATTTTCCCTATATGCATATAGTAAAAACTTAAAAAATCTTTTTTTAAAGAACCCAAAGAGCTAGAGCTAAGATATTTGGCATGAAACATCTTCTAGTGAGTGTCTACCAAGTTTGTTGAAATAAAAGCCCTGGGGTCAAAATTGGCACCGCCCCGGGGGGTCATTGATTTTCCCTATATGCATATAGTAAAAACTTATAAAATCTTCTTTTCAAGAACCCAAAGAGCTAGAGCTAAGATATTAAGCATGAAACATCTTCTAGTGAGTGTCTACCAAGTTTGTTCAAATTAAAGCCCTGGGGTCAAAATTGGCCCCGCCCCGGGGGGTCATTGATTTTCCCTATATGCATATAGTAAAAACTTAAAAAATCTTCTTTTAAAGAACCATAAGCGCTAGAGCTTAGATATTTGGCATGAAACGTCTTCTAGTGAATGTCTACCAAGTTTGTTCAAATAAAAGCCCTGGGGTCAAAATTGACCCCGCCCCAGGGGGTCATAGATTTTCCCTATATGCATATAGTAAAAACTTAAAAAATCTTCTTTTAAAGAACCCAAAGAGCTAGATCTAAGATATTTAGCATGAAACATCTTCTAATGAGTGTCTACCAAGTTTGTTCAAATAAAAGCCCTTGGGTCAAAATTGGCCCCGCCCCAGGGAGTCATTGATTTTCCCTATATGCATATAGTAAAAACTTAAAAAATCTTCTTTTAAAGAACTCAAAGAGCTAGAGCTAAGATATTTAGCATGAAACATGTTCTAATGGGTGTCTACCAAGTATGTTCAAATGAAAGCCCTGGGGTCAAAACTGGCCCCGCCCGGGGGGGTCATTGATTTTCCTTATATGTGTATAGCAAAAACTTAAAAATCTTCTTTGAAAAAAACCAAATAGCTAGAGTTTAGATATTAAGCATGAAACATCTTTAAGTAAATATCTACAAAGTTTGTTCAAATAAAAGCCCGGGGGTCAAAACTGGCTCTGCCCCAGGGGTGTCATTGTTTTTAACTATATGTGTATAGTAAAAACTTTAAAAATCTTCTTTTAAAGAACCCAATGAGCTAGAACTTAGATGTTTAGCATGAAACATCTTCTTATGGGTGTCTACCAAGTCTGTTCAAATAAACAAATAAAAGCCCTTGGATAAAAATTGGCCCGGGGGGGGGGGGCCTATATACAGGTGAGCGACCTCAGGGCCATCATGGCCCTCTTGTTTATCTGATCATTTTCGAATTCTGATTTATGCCAACATTGGTTTTGATATTTTTAGAACACCAGAGAGACGGCTGCGGCTGTCAAGCATATGCATGTCAAGCGTGCTACACGTTATTTAAAAAATGTTATTGCCAAGAAGGAAGTTGTTCCCTTCACACATTTTAATGGAGCTGTAGGCAGAAAAGCACAGGTAAATTATTATGTTAAGTGTTATAGAAAGGTTCTGTTACGTTGTTTATCATAGTTGAAATGGCAACAGTAATTAAACAATACGGAAGACTTGCCCTTGTCTGTCCTGATATCCATATACAGTAAATTGTGTAGTATGTAAAAAAGTAAAAAAAGTAATAACTGCCAAAATGTGACTCTTTCTATGAATAGTTACCAGCTTGTGAACTTGAGCACTTTGGTATTTAAATTTGATGTTTTTAACATTTAAGATTGGCAGCGCTGTAACGTCTCAACTAAGCAACAATTCATTTTAGACATCAGTCATGTGTACTAAGTCCAATAGTATTGCAGCTATGACCATAAAACCTCTATTCATATTTGATGTGAGCATGTGACCTTAAACAATTACAGTACTTTGATGTAGATTTGTTTGGGATCTACAGTCATGCAAGCCGATTTATTATGCCACCGCGGCATCTGCGATGCGGTGGCATATAGCGATTCACCTGTGTGTGTGTTTGTGTGTGTGTTATATAGATTATATAGTGAACTTAAAAAATCTTCTTGTAAAAAACCGCTAGTCCAATTTCAACCAAACTTGGCAGGATTGTTCCTTGGGTGAAGGGCTTCCAAAGTTGTTCAAAGAATTTCATTCCATGCAGATATCTGGTTGCCATGGCAATCAGAAGGAATTATAAGAATAAATTTAAAAGATCTTCTTGTAAAGACCCAAAGGCCTAGATCTTAGATATTTTGCATAAGGCATTTTCTGGTAGACCTCTAACAAGATTGTTCAAATTATAGCCCTGGGGTCAAAATTGGCCCCGCCCCAGGGGTCATGGATTTTCACTATGTACCAGGGTTCTCACTAGGACTTTAAAACATGGAGTCCATGGACTCCCAACCCTGAAAAAGTTGGAGTCCAAAAGCGTGTCGCAATTAATATGTTTACAGATTAGTCATTCAATGCTCACAATAGTATTGCTGATATTTTGAATCTTCAAGAGACTTCCAAAGTTTATAGTTATTCAAAAGAAACTCTGAACTACATAGTATAATTATTGTTTTGTTGTTAATATTCATTATGAAATTATTTCATTATAATGCATCAACACATGGAAATCGTTGTTTTTGTTTTTTTCACTTTTATACCAAATTAAATTTAATTCTGGTTAAATAAGTCCACTCTAAAGATTTGTAAAAAAACGTAAAGCGTTTAGCGGAATGAATAGGAAAATCGTGTACAGCTTCACACAGTGTGTAAGAGATTCATCCGGTCGACAATTATTTTAGCAAATATCTTCAAAAGGGGGCAAATTGAAGATCGATATTTAAAGATTTAAAGTTGATTAAATAATAAAAGAACAATTCATTCGTATGTTTGGCTTGGAAACCGAGAATTTTTGCAAAATTTTAGGGTTTCTGGCGAACGTGAAATCGCCGATGTTCGGGATCAATTTTCGGATAGAATCTAAATATCAAAGAAAAGTGTATGTGTATTTTGGTTTGTTGTCCTGGCATTTCGGCAAAATATCTTAAATTCTTAATACTCTTATAGAAAGATTTTGCAAGAATGAAACTAAAGCAAAATTGTGCCTAGAAAATGCCGAAACTATTGGACAATCATTCAAAATTACACTCGTTTGTAATTTGAGAAAACAGTCTTTAAACTTGCGGTGTAATTGATAATTTATCCTTTTGTCGGTAAAATTTGCTAATTTCCAATCAACTGTTGATCAAAGATATAAAATTATCACCTCGTGTTATATCTGGTAATTACATACAGCGCGTGTATACATTAGTCTAATCACTATTGCGTGATAATGATCGGAAGCGTTAGCGCTGATTGGCTAATCGCTTCACGGGTCGATGTGCATAGGACCGCCTACCATAGATTGACACGCGCTGACGCATTTGTGTATTTGTGGTTGTAAACAATCGGTAATGTTTATGCGTCCCCAGGCAAAATTAAGCATACGTGGAATCCTTGCTCTGAAATATTTGCGTCCAGCTGTAATAAACATGCGTACCGGGACGCCAAAATAAGCGTCCCCGAGAACCCTGTGTACATATAGTAAAAACTTAAAATACCTTCTTGTAAAAACCCAAAAGGCCTAGAGCTTAGATATTTTGCATAAGGCATCGTCTGGTAGACCCTTACTAAGATTGTTCAAATTATAGCCCTTGGATCAAAATCGGCCCCGCCCCGGGGTCATTGATTTTCAATATATTTACATATAGTAAAAACTTAAAACACCTTGTAAAGACCCAAAAGGCCTAGAGCTTAGATATTTCGCATAAGGCATTGTCTTGTAGACCTCTACCCAGATTGTTCAAATTATAGCCCTGGGGTCAAAATCGGCCCGCCCCGGGGGTCATTGGTTTTCCTTATATGTATATAGTAAAAACTTATAGTAAAAACTTCAAAAAAAAATTATTCTAGCAATTGACAAATGCTAGAGGTTAGATATTTTGCATGAAACATGGTGTAGTAAACCTCTAGCAAGATTGTTCAAATTATAGCCCTGGGGTCAAAATTGCCCCCGCCCTGGGGGTCATTGATTTCAATATATACATATAGTAAAAAATAAAAAAATCTTATTGTCTGAAGGTACTAGGCTTAGAGCTTTAATATTTGTTAAATAATATCATCTAAAGGTACTCTACAAAAGTCATTCAAATTTTGCCTCTTGTGTCAAAATTAGCCCCGGCCCCGGGGGCCATATGTTTTCCTTATATGTATATAGTAAAAACTTAAAAAATCATCTTCTCTAAATTTACAAAGGCTAGAGTTAAGATATTTTGCATGAAACATTGTGTAGTGAACCTCTTGCAAGATTGTTCAAATTATAGCCCTGGGGTCAAAATTGGTTCCGCCCCGGGGGTCATTGATTTTCATTATGTACATATAGTGAAAAAAATAAAAAATATTTTTGTCTGAAGATACAAGGCATAGAGCTTTGATGTTTGATATATATCATTTATAGGTCCTCTACCAAAGTTGTTAAAATTTTTACCCTGGTGTCAAAATTGGCCCTGCCCAGGGGCAGTGATTCTCATTATGTTCACATAGTAAAAACAGAAAATAAAACAAATGTTTTCTGAATGGGAGAAAGCTATAGCTTAGATATTTGACTTGAAATGTTGTTTGGTGGACCTGTATCAAAATTGTTTTGAATTAAACCCTTGGGTAAAAATTATGCCTTGCCCAAGGGGACAGTGACCTACTTTCTTGTCCTTTGATGTACAGCAATGACATTTTGACCATGTGCACAGGTTTAGTTGTAAAATTGAACTTTGATATCAGGTGACCTAGATTTTGATGATGTGACCTACTTTCTTGTCCTTTGATGTACAGCTATGAAATTTGAACCATGCGGTGGCATAGCATTTTTCTCAAATGCAATCTTGTTTTTAGGCTTGTGTCTAGCTCCAAATTTACCGCCTCCGTGGTCGAAGGGTTAGAGTCGATGACTTCTAATCCAGTTACCTCTCTGGCGTGGGTTCGATCCCCGGGAGATGCTTTGGTAGTTTAGCGCGGAGGAAGGTAGTCTAGTACTGGTGTAACCCTCCAGGAACGATGGTTAGGAAACTACCCGCCTATATGACTGAAATACTGTTGGGAAAAGGCGTAAAATGAAACAAACAAGCTCCAAATTTAGAACTAAGTTTGTACAGGATTGCTTGTAATGTGGGGTTATCCATGACTAAGTTCTCCTACTATGACAAGTTTTTCGAGTCCTGTCAAAGCAGTATCAAGTGTAACCAAAACAGTATTTTTACTTTTCAAAAACTTTTCCCCAAATGACAAAAATGCCTGTTTTTCCAGAATTTATGGATTCAAAAGGTGACTTTTAAAGAATTAATCTATTAATAAAGTAATAATATTGCTGTTATATAAAAATGTTCAATTGGACTAATAGTATAAAAGACACTGCCACAATCTTGTTTTGATACAAATTATTTTCTTACAGGCTAAGGCATGGGGTGTCACACAAGGTCGTTGGCCAAAAAAGAGTGCAGAATTTCTTCTGCAGCTATTGAAAAATGCTGAGAGCAATGCTGAGTTCAAGGTGAGTCTATTTTACTTTGTTCTAATTTTCCATTTGTTCAAGTATCACATTGAGTACCCTCATTATTTTTAAAAAGATGGAAACAGAAACGGGTCATTGAATGGGATTGCACATGGTGTGGTCCAGATAATTTCCATAATGGACCTTTCCGGTGTTTACAGTTTTATGTAAATTGGCTAACTTGTTATCCAATCGCTACAGTGAGATAATACATAGTCACTGGTTGACCTGGTTTGCACAAAAGAACACATGCTTATGTTTGTGATACTGTTTGTGAGCAGTTGACCTAGCAATGAATGGAAAAGGTGTGGCTAAATGTTTCGCTACGAAAAACCGGAATGGTCCATTGCTTGGAGCATTACGAGGCATAGTAATAATAGCAAAATCAAGTCAGGTAATTTTGACAAAGGTCAAGGTTGCATGCTTGTCAAAGGTCAGATGATATTTTGAAAATTTAAGTTACAGTATCTGTTTTTTAGTCACTATGAATTATAGTATTTTAATGTAAATGTTCACTGTTGTCAGTGATTTTTCTCAATTAATTGGGAAGAGGCCTGAGCCTCTTGATTTTGGGAAAAATTATCGCTAAAATTGCTAATTTGGGAAGTAAAAAAGCTGGTTTGAGTTCAGATTTTTGGGAAAACTGCATGATTTTAAAGAAAATTTCAATTGGGAAGAGGCCTTTTTTCGGAGTCTGTTATATAAGTAGGAAAATCACTGGTTGTATGTAAGGCTAAACACAAGTGGCAAACTGGCATTTCTGTTGCAGTTTAAATTGACAATTTGTATATTGAATGTAGGAAATGAGAGATTATTTCCATAAATATAAACTAGGTAACAGTTTTCTGGCCATGCTCCAGTGAATTGTTATACCTGAAATAATACAAAGAGCACCAGCGGTCTCTGTCCTATTAAAGAAATGTTGTGTGACTTGCCACCTAACCAAAAAAAGATATACATGTATATTAATTTGTTATGAAGAATTTATATTACTTGCTTTGTTAAGGAATAAAGGTCAGTGTAACACTAGCTTATTAATCCATTATGTTTTCAGGGACTTGACACAGATCATTTGGTGATTGAACATATTATGGTAAATGCAGCTCCAAAAATGAGGAGACGAACATACAGAGCTCATGGTAGAATTAACCGTAAGTATTGAATACTCTGATTTATATCTTACTGTACGGTAACTCGAGAGTTAGTTGTACAAAAGGACATGGTGCCAGGGTTATCCTAAGTTAGACTTCTGTGTCCCTGTCACAAGTTCTGTCCTCCCAAGATGTGCATTCATCTTTCTGTGGATGTGTCATATCATCCTATTTATACTTTTAACATTGTGAATTATTGCACTGCCAGTAAATTGCACACCGGTTTAAGCTGACAAATTTCCTCATTTATGTAAAATAAGGTTTTAGATTTATTGAATACGTCTCCTTGAAAGGTGTGTCATATTTTCATTTGAAGCACTGCTGGCAGTGCATTACAAAATTAAATATTAGAAAAATCTTTTATATTCTGGCAGAAGTAGAGACAATAGTCACACCACAGATATTTAATAGGAGTAACTTAATGTTTGTAATTGTTTATAATGTCTAGACTTCAAACCCAGTTTCTATCAACAAACTCCTCTCGGTAAATATTAATAAAAAGATGAATTATGCACATGGTAAAAATTTTTTTCAAGGGAACTAATCAAATGTTTTTGTTTTAAATGATTCTAGCATACATGAGCAGTCCATGTCACATTGAGTTGATCCTGGCTGAACGTGAGGCGGCTGTACCTCGACCAGTGGGTGGTGAAGATGAACCAGTCAAAAAGAAGGTCTCGCAAAAGAAATTGAAAAGACAAAAGATGATGATGAGAGAATAAACCATTCACTGACCTGTACAGTTAATACAAATAAAGAAAAAAAACTGAACATTTTCTTATTATATTTTCTTATTTTAATATTACCTTTCGGAATCAATATGAATAGATGTATAAACACAACTGGTAGGAAATTTATGAAAAACTTGAGTCTAAAGCATTAAACTTAGAATTCTTGCTTCATAAAATTGAAAAAAAAAACCTGCAAAAGATGGTAAAGAAAAATACTAATTTTTAATGCGGTTTGAGTGAAAAGTATTGCAACGCCTTTAAGGTTTTTGGTAATTTTTCACAAAAATATGTCTTGGAATACAGATTTAGGGGATGTTTGAAATTTTGCACACTAGTTACAATTAAAAATACACATCTCGAAAGAAAATATTTTCAGTTCCTGCATGTCAAAAAACTTTAGTGAACAAGTTAATAGATGATGATAAAACACGATGATACTAGATGCTTGTGTTACATGTATGGGGATGTCTTTAAATTAAATGATATGTTCAGTCTATTTTGAGGGGTCACAGCGGTTAAGATGCACAATTTTGAATTTGAGAATCCTACCAGTGCTTATATTGTTTCATGTTGGAAAGCTTCTTGGCTAGTTTATTAGGTCTTCCTTCATCTGTAATGTTGCCATATGACATATACTTGTATTAGAAGGACTACAATCAACTACAAAATGATAGAGGAATAGCAAAACAATATTGTGTAAAATATACCTTTGGAAACAATGAATGGCAGAAAGTAGGAAAGTCTATACTACGATTACTTGGTGCATACATTTGAAAGGAAATTAAAGATATTACAATTGAAATGTAATTTCATACAGAATGGAGGATATGAAGTTTTGTCAACCTGGAAAGATCATTAAATGATATTTAATATTAGAAATAAGTAATCTAAAATTGTCAACATACTGATGTCTAAAATCAATATTAAAAGGAATTCCACCATTGATCAAATCAGCATCCCATAAATTACAAATCCAGTTGAGATAAGCAGGTGGTTGAATGATAATCTGGAATTGCAAAACACCAGTAATCAACTATATGACTATATTTCGAATCTATGATTTTCTTATTGCCCTGCTGATACTGTACTTGAATGCTACAGAATGTTGCTAGTGTATTACACAAACTTATATGCAGAAAAAAGGTACTGATGACTTTCTCAAAGGTTTTAATCTGGCTATTCATTCCATCTACATGTAGTGCAGTTTCCTTATACTAATTGCAACATGTGGGAGAGGACACTCATAAGCTTTATAGCTTTCTGCCCAATCCCAAAATGTACTTTGTAAATATTGTTCATGTCACGGTTCAGAACTGTTCACTATTTAGGGGAGAAGATGTGTAAGCGGCCGGATAGCTCAGTCGGTAGAACCGCGGAACGGTATTCCGAGGGTCCCGGGTTCGAGTCCCGGTCAGGCTGCACATTTTTCTCACCCTGTGACACCTTGTTGAATGTTTTGTTGAATAAAAATGTTTAAACCAATTGCAACATGTAACATAAATTCCTATTGGGTCTTAGGACTGCTTGCTGTCTCAATAAAAGATCCAACTAAACACTTCAGACTTTGAGGAATAACCAGAGTATTGTTGGTGATATTATTTAATATTTGTATGGACATGGAGGAAAACTTGTATCAAATTCAGTAGTGTAAAAATCAAATGGTAATTTCATTATCTTTAACACAATATAGAATTGATCTGCACTATCCTTAAAACCAGAAGTCATAAGTTTGATGTCTGTATGTTGTCAACAGTATTACTTGTTAATTTCAATTGCACATGGAGTGTAGTATCTGATGTAGACTGATGAATAGTTGATCTTAACGAAATTCAAGAAAATTTTTGCTGACCATGTATCAAAATGATTTTGGTTCAGACATTGATGGAAAATCAACACATAAAACAATATACAATCTGATTTTTGCACCATAATTTCTCTGTCTTGTCCACATCAAGTATAGAATTACCACCACCAGTAGAGGCTTCGTAGCTGAGGGTTTAAATCTCGACAAGGACTCTGGATTCTTTCATGTGAGGAAGCTTTTCAGCTAGCTTACAGAAGGTTGGTGGTTCCACTCGGGTACCTGAAATAATGCACCCGAGGTCTTTCTCAATCATTAAGCTGGAATGTTGCCATATGACCTATACTGTGTTGGTGCAACATAAGAGCCAACCAAAAAAAACACTTCCAGTATTCTGATTATTCCACAAAACTCCATCTAGGTGGGACTTGTAAAAATGGATGCTATGTGAACCTAGTAAATTGTCAGTTACACAAAACCTTCAGCAGAATAAGTTTTAAATTGACCATAATCCTACTACATTTGTTGTATAAGTACACAAGAGAATTTCTTTGAAATTTGATCTGTCCCATGATCATCTTAATGCTCTGACAGATTGACCAGTGATCCAATCATAGTAGTTTCCGTAATAAATTTTCAGTAAATGCCCCAATATTATCTTTTATGGAAAACTCAAATAATGCTAGTCTCTTTTCAATTCATAGCAAGCAAAAAGTTGATGTTTCTACAATGCTACAAATCTGGTAAAGTTGTGTGTGCCACCACAAGGAAGAGGGACTTTCCCAGGGGTTTTAAAAATCCTAAAGTCAAAGTTGCCACTGTTGCTGTGGGTGGGCAACAATACAGCATAATCTTATAACGACAAAACAAAAACATCTGTAAAATAAAATTTATTTGCATAACATAATGTCTAACATTTCATTGCAAAACAAATAAGGCAATATAACTATAAAGTTGCATAATGTTTAACAATAAATATACAAAACATTCTTCGAGATCAATATAAATTATTACTGTCCAACAATATTGACCTGGCACTTCATTAAATTTCAAAAAGGTCATATGAATAAACATTGACCATTACCAATCGAATATATCGATATTTTTGCTAACTTCACTCGTCAGTGAGGTGTGGTGTATTGGTATAGATGTCGGACTACAGATCTGAAGGTCTCTGGTTCGATACCTAACCAACACCACATTATGTTTTTTTTGAAATTTAATTGTTAGAATTAATTTGAAATCGTTTTACTACACCTGGTTTTAGAATACCTTTTAAGTGGTGTTTTTATGCACAATTTTATTTTATTACAGTATCTTTCAACGGTTCTTTTTGTGACATTATGCAATCGTATATGCTTAAGCGCATACATGCTATAAAGGCAGTTATTAAAAATTCTAAATAGCAAAAAGGTTTTCAATAGTTTAAAGAGAATGGCAATTTTAAAATTAAAATAAAAAATAAATCGCTGAAATAGGATTCGAACCTACAGGTCTACGTCTACAAGTGAAAACTCTTTATCAAGGCATTTTAATTTACACCACATTAACAATTGGATATTTACATTCATATTGATTTACAAGTAGATCGTAACGTTTACGGAATATACCGACTACAGGGTCAAATGCAAGAGTGCCAGGTCAATGTTGTTGGACAAAATCAGGCACTAGTACCCTAAGTTGTCTCACTGAGGTATTGTTTATTTTGGTCAATCCAAGTACATATTAGGTATAAAAATATGGTAATCATACTAATTGAAATGTTATAATATGGTTTAATCATTTAGCAAATATTTAAATAATAATAAAATTTCTGACAAATGAGAAACTATGTTAAAAGAAAATTACATAAAGTAAACAATTCATGTTTTTATTTTATTCTTACATGTAACAACAGTTTTGTAAGGAAACAAATGAATTAAAATATGAGGCAATTAATTGAAACATACTGTAAGCTTGATTGTGAGAAATCTGACAGCCTATTTCAATCAAAAAAGAAATTGAAATGGAAAATACATGGCAAAATATGGACATGACCCTAATATAGTTTGAATAGATGATCCCTGGGTTGAGATGTAGATATGCTAATCACTTGGTCGCTCCTCCCCTGAGATAATTTATCAATTGAGGTATGTTACCTAAATGCTGGTCTACTTCTGTGGAAGCCTTTCCCCTGAATTTGTTTCCCTAATTTCTCAGTAAGAACTTCCTCTTGAGAGACTGGTCTCTCAGCAGCAGACTGATTACTTTCAAAACTTTCTTCTTTAGAGGACAGTCTACTTAAACTTCCTGATCTCCTCAACTGAAGAGTTTTATTTGGTACAAAGGTATTTGGCACATATCCCAGTTTTTTCTTTTTTACTTTTGGAGGTTTTTGACTGGTAGTAGTCTCAATATGTTTATTAACACCTGTATCAATGCTGTCAACACTTGTGTGAATATCTTCCCCAAAATCTGTTTTTGAAAGATAATTAAAAAGTTCAGCATCTGACATTTCTTTTGTATCACTTTCCGAATGTTCTCTTTCTGTTTCATGTGATTCTAAATTTAGATCAGATATACCTCTCTCTAATGGCTTTTCATCTAATATACTGACCCATTCTTTCTTATGTAGTGGTTTCTCTTTTGACCTTTGCTTTGACCTTTTTAAAGTTGGCAGCGGTTTTTCACTGATATCACACTCTAAGCTTAGCTCTTTGTCTACTGCATTATTTTTATCACTTTCAACAACATTGTCTGCAATATCTGATGATGTAAAACTATTTTGCACTGTTGATATTAATGATGATTGAGATCTGTTTTCTTGCTCTTCTAAAAGGTCTCGCAATTCTTTATCTAGTCTGGCCTGCTCATTGCGAACTTCCTCGACACGGCCCGCCTCTATATCTCTCCTTGACTGCTCTTTACGTACCAACTTTTCCAGTGCTTCAAAGAACTCGTCACCATATTGTGACAACACCTTAGAACCTGTATGGAAAATATAAATCAGTCCTATATATAAAATTGATAAATAATTTATATAGACATTAACATTTCTAGTATTGTATATAGGGGAGAGTAAACGCAACCTATTGAGGCCAAAACAACATTATAAAAGTTTCTTTAAGATAATTGAGAATTATTCCATAACTCTCCTTTGCTCTTTAAGAAGAGTGGTGGCCTAATGGTTAAGGTGTTTGCCTCTCAACCCAGGGACCATGGGTTCGAGCCTTACTTGGGTCAGGTCATGTTTCTTCATATGACAACAGTACGAAGTGGACTTGAAAGTGATTGATAAAAGTTGCAAGAACTTGTTTTGCAATCAAGCTTAAATAAATATGTTTAAACAAAGTCCTTTACTCTTATGAACTTTGTGTAGTAATGGAATGTCCTTCTTATAATCTAGAATCTGTAAATGTCCATTACTTAATTTTGTACATATACCTAGACACCTGCACGAGAGTTAAATCTAGCCAGGTCTATATATAATGAAACCTCAAAACTGAATCGATTTTTAAATAAGTATGTATGCAGTAGTATGCAAACAAAAGCCTTAAAATACTGTAAGAGTTTTAAAAGAAAAGTACCTTCTGATTCTTCAAATGCTTTCACTTGAATTGTCTCCACTATAGTGCTCAGCTAAAATAATGAAATTAAAATTCTTTTTTAGCAAAATTGAAGAACAAAGAAATACAGAAGAGTACATTTTTTCAAATAATTAAACTGTTTTAACTTAACAAATTGTTCCAATTAGTAGGATTTCCTAGTTGAAATGCTGGCAGTATTTTGCTACTGAATAAAAAAGAAATTACAGAAAGAAAATGTATATTTATATTTATGATTATTTCTTTTTTAAAATAGGTCTGCATGTTTCAGATATCTAAATAAATGTCTAGTAGTCTATTTTATCCTATGTATTTAGCTATAATTTTCCTCCACATGAGCTCAGCACATGCACAAAGTATTTGGATATACAAGCTACCCAAAGGAAACATAAAAATCTTATGTGGGTGCTTCACAAGAGTGTTAATATGTTACCTGCGGAACCTGGTCTTTAAATGTCTGTATGAATTTTTTAAGGGAAACCTCAGATGCTGACTGACTTAAATTCATGTAAGCTTCTAGAACCACTGAAAATATATCATATGTGTAATATAATTAGACTGACAGGGCAGTTACAGGTAATTCTTTATTTACAATAAATCTTTAATCTAAACATAGACAATATTGAACAAAGTTGCACAAAACACATTTTTTTTACAAATGGCAAACTGTACCTTTGAGGTTAAAATCAGACCAAAATTCAGTCAAAAACCAGAGTTTGAGCTGGAGTTATGGGCCTTAGTTAATGACATCCTTTTATTCGCTTAAGTTATAAGGAAGATCTCTAGTGGTTGAAAAAAAATGATGTTGTACAAGAAGTTGCTTGAGAAACTTTTACCAAAGTGTTAAGCTTATGCAGACTCCCAGGTATGAAGGATAGCCCCACTTCTTTGAATATTCAATCTAAAAACATATTTTGAACATGGCCTTTCCAAATACAAATTTTAGATTATTTTTTTAGATTAGGATACTTCATTTTCAAGCCTTGATCTTGAATGAAATGTAAAAATGAACATGGCAGGAAAATGGTAACATATGCAATGCAATCTTCTTTCCAATTCATTTTATCTTTCCTTAAAGTTTCCTTAAAGGTAGAACACAATATTTTTTTGTTGTCTGTACAAAAAAACCAATATGCTGTACAAGAGTTTCAGAGAAGAAAATGATAATAAATTTTGTTTATAAGAAATTACCATTGATTGGTTTAACTATCAAGTCATTACTAGTATCTTCAAAACTTGTGTAGGCCTCCCTGAAATTAAACAAACATATCCAATGTAATTGTCAAATGTAAATAATAAGGTTAGAAAGCAGACTACATTTGTATTTATAAACTTTAGGTTATCAATCAAATTAGAACAAATTAATAGTAAATAACAGACAGCTTCTCAATATAAGGGGGACAAAAAGGAATTAGTACTAGTTTCAGAAAAGAAATGAAACAACCAATTACCTTATAGCTTGAAATAAAGACTCTGTATATTTGAGCTGCAGATTGTAAACTTTCTGATGATACTTCACTTCTTCTCTCAAACATTTATTCTGAAAATTTCAAACATAATCATGCATCAGTATTTAACCTTGAATCTGCTGGAACCAAAAGTCTTTAACCTTTGCCACAAGTATAAAGCCAGGCCAGCATGCACATTGGTAAGTCTGAACTGACTCTATACTGTTGGTAGCTCAATTTTTGTGTTTGAACACAGTATATTTATCGAAATAGTCTCTAAAAACATGTAACACTGATATGCCTGGATTGCTTGATTACCTGTAAAATCTATGTTTACTATACATATGTTGATTTGTCGTTTTACATGTCATGAGTCTACTATATACTTTTAATGTCATTTGGATATGTTCGTTGTTCTCTATTTACTTAATAAGAAAATTTAAAATACTTTAAACTTTGAACAGATTGTGCAGGAATATCATGATATTTGACAGAATTCTTTGACTACCAGCAACTCATTTTATAAAATTTCAATATTGTGATTTTCAATAATATGATGTAACTGATCTTAAAAGTCTTCAAATATGTAAGTTTAACTCTTGACCTAATGAATTTATATAATGGACAGGACTGGTCCTTATTTTATTTCAGAACAGTCCATTTGTATTTTTTCAGGGACCTCAAAATTGCAAACCTTTTTATCATTGTTTAGAAAATGTTTTAAACTTGACACTTTTACCAAAGCCATAAGTAACTGATTCAAAATTAATTTTAATATTCTATCTTTATTTGTTATGTTTATAGATAAAAAAAACAAAAAACAATTTTAATGGTGAAAGAAAGTTAGCAAAAGAGCCTGCATGAAACTTCAACAAAGCAAGGTTTCCAATTCAGAGGCTTTGATGAAGAATCCATATTATCACCTGCAAGGCACATTCTTTTCTACTTGTGTCTACTACCTTTTCTTTACCATAAATTGGATCCTAATAAGTATCAATGGTTCTTAGAATTTTTAACTTCAAGAAAGAACCTTGCCCAAATAAATCTTATGGGAACACAGATTTTCAAAATTTAGGAAGTTCATTACCTGGTTTTGAAGCATATATACTTTATAGTTGAAAGCTTTCACCAATGCTTTTATCATCTGGTTCATGTCCTCTGACCTTGACCTTGACCTAGCTGGTAAACATGCCAACACTCTCTCTGCTGTGATCTCTTTAAGTGCACATGTCTTCAGTGGTGGCTATAAATAGAAAACGAAAAAAAGGTTACCCCTAAACCTAAGGAATTTCTAAAATGGACTTGTCCAGCTTCAATTTTTGGAATTGTCCATTATCAATTTGGGGGATATCAAAATGAAAATTTGAAGCTGATCAGCCATCAGTACAGTTTATGGAAGTGCAGTCTAATAAAATAATGTCCTTTGCCTCAGTAGAGCACCTTGTCACCAATTATTCAAAGTTACTTCTTAATATCTTTTAAAATGTTTAAATAACTGGCTACATTAAAGTTTTTGCATGATAACAACAACAACAAAAGAGACACTGTGATGACAATATCTTGACTATTTTGATGATAGATAAAAATGATAAATATTTTATTTTTAAGATTTTATATTTTCTTTTGTTTTAAGAAAGGCAGAATAAAAAGATGATTTCTTTAGAAATGCTCCACTTTCTTACCCAAGGTGCACTTGGATACAGTATTGATAAATTAAGAAGGTCTGAGCTACATTCTTTCATCACTGCACATGTTTTTAGAATCTGGGTCATCAGCCTCTCTCTGGCAGGTGTGGTCACATGACAGGAAGTCCATAAATATGCTGAGTCACTGTCATTTTCAGGTTCCATGATGGAATGAAGTTGAATGAGATCCTTGTAAAGGGAGCTAAGTTTTGTTTCTAACTTTGTCTGTGGAAAATAACATACCATTATAAACATGGGCAATACATAGAACTGGTGAGAGTAAAACATAAGAACTGATAAATGCGAGTAAAATCTTTTTCAAACTGAAGATCAACATTTGTCATTTATAAGAATAAGCAAATAAACATTAGAAAATGATTTCTATTTTTGTAAAAGGTACATCTTTGCACACTGTCGACCATCTTTTCATACTAACTTCTAAATAAATTACAATTTTAATTTAAAAGAAAAAAAGGAAACCTCCTTTTTACATGTATTAACTCATATATTAATGAATTCAAGTACAAATAACATCTCCATTACAGAATCAAATCTGGAGCAAAACTACATTTAATATCCTATGAAACAGTTCCCAGTAATTTTAAATTAAATTTGGAAAATATAGTATTTATATCAAACTAATTAAATAAGTATAAATACCACATGTTTGAGATTTAAATGTTCAAGATTTCCAGAGGCTATCTCTAACAGTGTAACATCATGTTCTCTACTAGACTGTAGAAAATCACTAGTGAATTTCAATGGTCTAGATAAATTCTCCGTGGATCTATTCTGGAAAATACAGTATATTTAAAAACAATGATAAGATGTTGTGAAATAAAGTGAGCAAGTATTGTAACTTCAAATTCTCAATTTGTATAGTGGACTTTCATTTCTTTGAATTGTGGACAGTCCATAAGTAGTTTAAATGGTCAGAATCAAATAGTAAAATTAACAGTTAAACATAGTGTTTGGATAAACTGAAGGAATATTCACAAGTTGATATTGTTTGATAAAAGAAGCAAAGGTCTGTTAATTACTACTGTCACTAACTTAAATTAAGATATGCATTAGGTTTAACTTCAGTTTAAAGAGGTATTTCAGTTTTACTTCACCAATCAATTACTTAACCTGTTTTCTATAATTCTGTATTAATTTGTTAGTGTTTTTTTTTAAGTAATAATACCATTTCATTTGTATACATGTATATACAAATACAAGTACTAAGTTGAAGAACAAATGTCCATGACGAACACATTGTTTTCATCTAAATCTATAAATAAAGAACAGTGCCATGTCTGAAACTTGAACTTGCTAATTTAGTTGTGTAAACCTAATACATGTACTCTTCTACAATAAATGGCTAGGCTTGCGCCACTACCTTACCGACCATATGAAGTTCTTCAATTTAAACATTGATTCGTACTGTTTTGAAAAGTTTTTTTTTTAAATCAGAATTGAGAAAATAGAGTACCTCAATCTGTTTGTACAACTTGATCCTTGCAGATTCTGTGGTCTCTACCATCAATGTTAACTCTGATCTATCTACAGGAACTTGAGCACCTCTCACATCTTTACTGATTAATGACCTTCAATAATTATCACGGAATAATGAAATACTATTTTATGTTGAATGCATCAATCTTTTAACCATATTATTTCATCACAGGATATCTAAACTTAAACTTGTATGTAAAGGTACATAACTCTGTTGTACTATCTCAACATATCGGGCAGGTAACAAGTAGGTGTCAAAATGGCGACAGAGGGTATAGCCACATTATTGTTGTTTAAAGAAATGTTTGATAGTGAAAGTAAGAGAAACATTTTGCTTGATAACAATCTGATTAATATCTCTTTTAAAACATGCAGCGAAACACAATGTATGAAGGGGTTTATAACAGTGGAGCGATTAAGACATTATATGCATGTGCATTGCCTTTACCCAACCAGTCCTTTTTGCAACTTTTGTCACTACGAGAATTATCATGTTAATATGTTGTTTCTATTACAATACCTGCATTTATCTGCCAGCCACTGAAGATTATTCTCTACATCAAACAAAGTCTCACTTCTAGATGTCAGGGCTTCACTAAATAACAGCAACTGTGAAAACATAAAACAGATAATAACATAAGACACAACATGTTGAGGAAATGCCCTTAAAGCTACTTACTTTTATAAGCTCTGGTGGCCACTTTGTTTAACAGACCCTAACCATTTTTGTAAAGGACCACCTAATGACCATTCCTGTAGAGTTTCATTAAAAACTAAAGCATAGTTGAAAAGGAAATGTTGTTTGAAGCTTATATTTTAAGTGCTGGAAACAATCTTCTGCAGCAGACTGTAAGGGTTTCAACAATTATTAATCATATACCACTGTATGTAAAATTTCACAATAATCTAGTTAAGAAGGAGATGTTGATAAGGGGTTTTACTAGTTTTGGCTCTAGTGGCTATTTAATGCAGTAGACCTGAGCAATTTTAGCAAAAAATCTAATAGTCACTTCTATATAGTTTCATCAAAATCTATCCAGTTGTTGAGATATTGTTTAAACATTTTACTAATTTTAGCTCTGACAGCAAGCCGATTTAAGTATTTTTCATAGAAGACCAAGGAAGACCCTTTTTAGTTTCATTACTATTGGGTAAGGCATTTAGGAGGAGATTTTGTTTAAGTAAAATGTTAACAACGCAGATCAATGCTGGACACAGGGTGATCACAATAACTCACCTTTACCTCTGGTGAGCTCATTAATTAAAGTTGATATGACACCTTAGTGCAGTAACAAGTCTCCTTAAATAATTTAATAGGAATTAACCCATTACTGCACTAAGGTGACAAATTGTGATGGTTTATCAATTAACTAATTGTTCACAAACAAACAATTATGTAATGCATGTTTACTTCAATGGCTTCAATTACTAAACTTATGGTTATTTTGTCATGCGTTCTTTTAAATAGTCTCATACATCATGAAGAATACCTGTCTCTCTAGCTGTATAATCTGTGACTTCAACAGAGTTACCCTCCGTTCATCAAACTTCTCATGGCTATTCTCTTGTACTAGCTGATTGTACAATGACCTAGTGTGAATAATATATGAGCCGTGTCATGACAAAACCAACATAATGGGTTTGCGACCAGCATGGATCGAGACCAGCCTGCGCATCCGCGTAGTCTGATCAGGATCCATGCTGTTCGCTTACCGACTCTATTAAAAGTAGAAAAACTGATAGCGAACAGCATGGATCCTGATCAGGCTGGTCTGGATCCATGCTGGTCGCAAACCCATTATGTTGGTTTTGTCATGACACGGCTCATATTAATATAATTATGTATATTGTTAGTTTTAAAGATTTTTGACAGATTATATGACATATGGTTATGTTACATATATTATAGTACCGTAGATAGATCCGAAATGATTCCATTTAAATAAGTCTGACAACTGACAGTAGCTACAAAGTCTAAAAAAAAATCAAAATGTTTACTGCCAGGATATTTATCAGTTTCAAACAGTACACTGTAAAGTACATTATAATAATATTCCAGTAAAGTTATGTGTATGTTATCATTTGTTATGTTTGTTGCTTGTTAGAATATGTAATAAATCTGTACCAATAGATAGCAGAAAATGGATTAATGAATACAGTATTCATTATAGCATTATACAACCATGATGAAATAATTTGATAACAGTCAACAAACCTGACTTCTGTTAGATCATCCTTTAACTTCCGGTTCTCTTGCTTTAACAGCTGAAAATATTCAACACTTTCATACAAAAGTTATCGCAAGCATGGGTGATGAATTTTAAATCTTTATGTAGGAAACATGTACAAAAATATGTATCAGATAATGAAAGCTATCTGACAAATGAATTTATTAGGTTACAAAAAGTTTAAAATTTATATAATATTATACATTATCTACCAACACTTGATGGATAAATAGTTTTTAAACAGATAACAAATCCTACATTGCAAGATATATGCATCAGTTGATCTTTAACATTATGTTAATTTATAATAAACTGATTTATTCTCTATAAAACTAAATGTTTTTCTTTCTGTTTTCTGAGGAGTTATAATATTTAATGTATTTAACCAAGAGATTATTGAGTACAATTTCTTTATAATATATGTTTTCAATGGCCCTGAAATCGCTCACCTGTATATAGGCCCCTGGGGTAGGACCAATTTTAACCCAAGGGCTTTTATTTGAACAATTTTGGTAGACACCCATTAGAAGATTTTTCATGATAAAAAATCTTAGCTCTAGTGCATTGAGAATTTTAAAAGAAGATTTTTTTAGTTTTTACGATACACATATATATAGGTAAAAACAATAATCCCCGACTCCCGGGTGGGGCCAATTTTGACCCCAGGGATTTTATTTAAACAAAGTTGGTATACACTCACTAGAAGATATTTCATCCTTGGTATCTAAACTCTAGTTCTTTGGGTTTTTAAAAGAAGATTTTTTAAGTTTTCATAATATACATATTGGGATAACAATGACCCCCTGGGGTGGGGCCAATTTTGACCATAAAACACACTTGGAAGACACCCACCAGAAGATGTTTTATGCTTAATATCTAAGCTCTAGCTATTTGAATTTTTTAAAAGAAGATTTTTTCAGTTTTTACTATATACATTAAGGGAAAAACAATGACCCCAGGGGCCGGGCCAATTTTGACCCTAGGGCTTATATTTGAACAAACTTGGTAGACACCCACTAGAAGATGTTTCATGCTTAATATCTAAGCTCCACTAGAAGATGTTTCATGCTTAATATCTAAGCTCTAGCTATTTGGGTTTTTTAAAAAGAAGATTTTTTAAGTTTTCACTATATACATATAGGGAAAACAATGACACCCTGGGGCGGGGCCAATTTTGACCCTAAGGCTTTTATTTGAACAAACTTGTTATACACCCACCAGAAGATGTTTCATGCCAAAAATCTAAGCTATAGCTATTTGAAAGTTTTTTCTATATACAAATCAATGACACCCCCCCCCCCCCCAGGCGGGGCCAATTTTGACCCCAGGGCATTTATTTGAACAAACAAACCTGGTAGACTCTGACTAGATGATGTTTCATGCAAAATATTTAAGCTCTAGCTCTTTTGATTTTTTCAAAGAAGATTTTTTAAGTTTTTTTCTTTCGTTTGCCATGGCAACCAGAGTTCTGCATGGAATTAAATTCTTTGAACAATTTTTAAAGTTCACTACCAAAGGAACTGTCCTGTGAAGTTTGGATGAAATTGGCTCAGCCGTTTATGAGGAGATGTCGTTTAAATTAAAAGTTTATGGCCGGACAAAAAACGATCACAAAATCTCACCATGTCATTTTGTGACAGGTGAACTAAAAATTAAGGAATAATTAGGACTGCTGTTATTGAAATCATAAGTACACTGGATTGTTTTAGGAATTTGGGAACATGACACATACCCACAAAATTATAATGACTGAAAAAATATATGACTGAATTGTAATTAAATTAATCCAAACAATCACTGTCTGTGATGGCATCTTCATACATTTAAACTCTATAACAGTGAATAAGCCCTTATTTTCAAAGAATTCAATATTTTTATTTTGTAACTTTCAATTGGGATTTTTTTTCCGTGGATTGGGAAAGTAATATACTATTTTCATTTGGGAATAATGACCAAATATCAGCTATAAAATATGCCAAAAATCCCTGGTACATGTAAACACATTTCATGACAACCTTTATTTCTTTTTCTGCTTTAGTCACACTTGAGCTTTTAATCTCACTAGTGTCCAATGGCTCAAGGTGTGGCTGTCTTGCCATCGCACCAGACAGGGTCAATCTAGCTCCAGTCTTCCTCATGGTCACTGTAAGAAGAACCTGAAATATAAACAAATAATCGACAAATATAACAGAAAATCAATATTTTTTTCTGTCATTTCTCAGGGAGAAATTATTTAAGGACAGAAACAATATTTCTGCGACAATCTCAGATGTACAAGACATTTTATGGACCTGCATGTAATGCCAAACATAGAAATTTCAATTACAATGTAAGGTATAATTTTATGGATGTAAGTAATTACGTATCTATAAGTGATAACAAAGGGACAGCAGAAGTCATAGTCAGTATCTGTCACCATTTTAAACAGATGTAATATGCATTTACAACTAGAGGCATTATAGTTTTTGGTACCATATATGTAAAAAGAAATTAATCTACAAAGCAAGCTTTTTTCTGTCTAAGATTTGCCTGTGAAACCAGATACCAGCATCAACTGTAGCTGCTGTCACCATCAATCTAGACCTGATTAGTCTCAATATATTGACTACAAGACTGACCGACTTTACAAACTGATATTACACAGACGTCGGCAAAGGTTGACCATCCTTTATATGATAAAAAGCCCTAAATCGCACAATTTGTTGGGGTAAGTCACTATAGGATATATCGTCTATCTAGCAGTCAGTACAACTAATGTAGACTTGCCAAAGAGACATCAAGATCATTTTGGACGGGATAAGTAAATGGTGTGAAAGAAAGTAAAAACTGAAAATAAACATTATGATTATCAGTGAGAGACTTTGAAAACATCAAGTCCTTGTTTAACCCATTACTTCATATACACGCCTTTTTCACCCCCCCCCCCCTTTTGTTGTCTCAAATGATGAAAAAATGCCTTATTTAGGCCCCCAAACACTTGTTTTTGTTTGAGAAATGTTGTTAAAAAAAGTGACCTCTTTTTCGGCGCGGCCCCCCAACCAAAAGATACATCAGGGGGTTGCCAGAAGGGGGATGTGCCCCCTTCTGTTTGGGGGGGTTTGAAGGGGGGCGGAGTCCCACTCATCGCCAAGAAAATTTTGGACTTGTGAGAGGCTGTAAATGACCCCAGATTGATCATAAGGTAACGTGTAACCAACGCTGAAAAGCATTTGACTCTATCTTAATCCATTGAGAAGTGGCAGCACTTTGAAATCAATTTTGATGGAAAAAATCAACGCAAAATAGTGATTTTTGGCAATTTTGAGATGTCCCCGTTGTCATGGTAACAGAAAATTTAGGCCTGAGCATGTTGTTGCAAGGGCAATGGTCCAGTCAACATTTGTGCCAAGTTTGATTAGTGTTGAAGCAGTTTTTCTAGTATTATAGCAATTTGAACTTGTAACGGGAGACTTTTCAATGAAAACAGCCATTTTTTCACAAAATGCTCATGAAGTAATGGGTTAAATGTTTTTATTGCTAAGTGCCATCTAGGTAATCCTGAGTGAAACAGTGTGAAAAGCTGAAGACAAGACATTCATTTCTTTTAGTCCTATAGGCCCTATTGGACTGAGTCAGTTGATGAGTTCTGTTTGTTTTTTGTGATTTTTATACATTTATCATAAAATCAGGATATATGAACTCTGTTACCTGATGGATTTAAAAATGTCAAAAAATGGAAAATGTTGCTACATGGACCAAACATCCTTGGTAAATTTACTTCTTCACCCAAATTTCTGGTTTCCAGCACGAAGAGGATGGTTCCCTAAATGCTGACTATGGTTGCACGCCCCTAAATGATTTTCCAAATTAAAAAAACAAAACAAAAAAAAAACGATTTAGATCTATAAGATATTTATGGTTATTTATCCTTTCAAGACTTAAATAACAGATAAAGGTCCGTGAATTTATTGCCTGAAAAGTCTCAATAATAAAACAAGAGCTAGTTTTATGAGTACAATAAAGCAGTCCTCTTTTTACAGTTCCACTACAATGATGAAAAGAGGAACGGGTGGACAGATGAAAAGTAAAATGATGAACAAAAAAGTAGGTCTATCATCAACCCAAATTGTGTACTTTTTGAATAAGGCAGGCCTACATGTATAGGCAAACTGAAAGTATAATAATAAGGCCTCCATAACAAAAATTAAAATGCCATAGTGTCAAGTTGTCCACAAACCCTTGCCCTATAATGTTCATCCCCTAAGGTCGGACAGACGAAGGATAAAACTGCCAAGGGGCATAAGTAAAATTCAGGAAAGCAATTTTCTTGAAAATCATATAAAATAGGATAACACCTTAGACGATAGCAAAGTGTTGTACATATGCTATTATATCAACCATGTATTAAAAATTTGAAGACAAAAAGCAATTATCAAAATATTGCAAGCAATACAAAATAAATGGTTTCAGTAGAAGTCAGTGCCTGCTATGAAATTTAATGCTTTGATTGGGTTAAACCTCACATCAACATGGTATATTACATATGGCGACATTACAGCCTTATTTGTGGTGGAAGACTTGAGGTGCCCTTCCTTGATTGAAATTCAAAAGACTCACTGTTTGCTATAGGAATCATCAGTTGCTATGCAAAATCAATGGTTGCAATGGAAAGTCAAAGGTTGTTATGGAAAGTCAATGGTTGTTATGAGGGTCAATATTGCTATTTGAAGTCATTGTTTGCTACCAAAGTCAACGGTTGCTGCAGAAATCCACTGGTTACTATGGAAGTTAACAGTTGTTATGGAAATTCAGTGGTTGCTATGGAAGTCAATTGTTGCTATGGAAAGCAATTTTGCTTTTGAAAGGCACTGATTGCTATGGAAAACCAATGGTTGATATTGATGGTAATACATGTAGTTGCTATGACAAATCGATGGTTGCTATATTTGTCAATGTCACTGGTTGCTATGTAAAGTCACTAGTAGCTTTGGAAGTCAATGGTTGCTATGGACAGTCACTGGTTGCTATGGAAAGTCACATGTAAGGAAAATCTATGTACACCTAGGATTTTCAATAATTTTGTCAAGTTTTTAATGTTAAATATCTAAAATATACAGTACAGTAGCCCTTGCATTTTTCAAGAAGATTTTTGAAGTATTCATGGTGTTTATTGGCTATTTTACACTGATTTTGGTGTTTTGATGCTTAGGAATTAACATCAACTAGAACTATCGCTGAATGCAATTCATACCCCCCACCAATGTCCTTGACAGAAGACGACTTGGAAAGGTGTTTAAGGGAATAACTTAAGTGGCACAAATACATAAAAAGAAATTATCTCTGGTGAAAACTAGAAATGTGTCATCATGCCACGGATGCCCCCGCATGCAGCCAAAATTTCACATGGTGCATTAATTATTTTTTTTATTTTAAGTTTAAAGCCCTTAAAACTTTTCAATGTTAACACAAACCATTTTCATACAATGTTCAAGGCACCGTAATTATTCAGTCTTAACCTTTTAAAAAATAGAATATTGCATATTTGTAGCCAAAATAATGGCTAAAAGTATGAGTGCTGAAACTGAAAGTTCAAAATTTTTCCAACATTCAGGAAAGATAAGTTTGTCTTAAATCATTGAACCACTACCAAATTCAAACTTAAACTGCTTATTCCTAAGATGTATCTATATTATTTTCAAAGTGAAAGGGACATAACTGTGCCAAAAAATCATCAAACCATGACCAAATTCCTTATTGACCTGCCCATTCCTTTGACATATCCATATGTCAAATTCAAGTTGAATATGTAACACTGTTGGGTAGATAATGAACAGAAACTGTAAATTTCATATTATTTTCAAAGTGAAAGGGGCATTACTCTGCCAAAAATCATTGAACCATGACCAAATTCGAACTTGGCCTGGGCATTCCAAAAATATATCCATATGTCAAATTTGAGTTGAATGTGTTGTACCATTGGGGAGATAATTAACGGAAACTGAAAATTTCATATTATTTTCAAAGTGAAAGGGGCATAACTCTGCCAAAAATCATTGAACCATGACCAAATTTTGAACTTGACCTGCGCATTTCTTTGACGCATCCATATGTCAAGTTTGAGTTGAATGTGTTGTACCTTTGCGGAGATAAAGAACGGAAACTGAAAATTTCATATTATTTTCAAAGTAAAAGGGGCATAACTCTGCCAAAAATCATCGAACCATGACCAAATTCGAACTTGACCTGTATTTTTTCATGACATATCCATATGTGAAGTTCGAGTTGAATGTGTTGTACCGTTGGGGAGATAATGAACGGAAACTGAAAATTTCATATTATTTTCAAAGTAAAAGGGGCAAAACTCTGCCAAAAATCATTGAACCATGACCAAATTCGAACTTGACCTGTATTTTCTCATGACATATCCATATGTCAAGTTTGAGTTGAATGTGTTGTACCGTTGGGGAGATAATAAACGGAAACTGAAATTTCATATTATTTTCAAAGTAAAAGGGGCATAACTGCCAAAAATGATCGAACTATGACCAAATTCGAACTTGACCTGTATTTTCTCATGACATATCCATATTTCAAATTTGAGTTGAATGTGTGCAACCGTTCTTAAGATAATGAACAGAAACTGATGATGACGGAATGACAGAAGGACGGAATGACGGAACAGGGTAACACTATATGCCCCGGCCATTACATGGCGGGGGCATAAAAAGACGAATTGTACAGGTAATAGTATAAATATATATTATCAAATCATGTTCGAAACAGTTATAAATAACCTTTCATTTTCCCAATGTACTAAACATTTTATAAGTCAATTTTTGACCTTCAAGTGTGGACTTGACCTTAGCTGGCACAAGGGTAAGATGGGTTCTGCACATCGCCCAGTTGGGGTGAACATTTGAGTCAAGTTTGAAGAAAATCCTTCCATTAGTATAGAATTTATAGAGCGGACACAACATATTGTCTAGTATTGATTGTATGTAAATTTAAAGACTTAAAAAGGGGTATAACTTTGTCAAAATGCAATACAGAGTTATGAAACTTGACCTGCATATCTTATTTGTGACACCTCATATATCTTTTAAGTTTCAACCAAATACCTGTGCTAGTTTCAGAAATATTCAAGTACATGTTAAAATTTAAGAACATTTTCTAAGTCAATTTTTGACCTTCAAGTGTGACCTTGACCTTTAGCCAGCACAAAGGTGACATGGATTCTGCACATAACCTTGTTGAGGTGAACATTTGAGTAAAGTTTGAAGAAAATTCTTCCATGAGTATAGGATTTATAGAGCGGACACGACATATTGTCTAATATTATTTGAAGTCTTAAAAGGGGGCATAACTTTGTTAAAATGCAATACAGAGTTATGAAACTTTACCAGCATATCTTAATTGTGACACTTCATATATATTTTAAGTTTCAAGCAAATACCTTTTCTAGATTCAGAAATATTCAAATAAATGTTAAAATTTAAGAATATTTTCTAAGTCAATTTTTGACCTTAAAGTGTGACCTTGACCTTAAGCCGGCAAAAAGGTGACATGGGTTCTGCACATTAACTTGTTGAGGTGAACATTTGAGCCAAGATTGAAGAAAATCTTTCAATTAGTGTAGGACTTACAGAGCGGACACGACATACTGTGTAATATTTGATTGTTTAATATTTGACCTTCAATTGTGACCTTGACCTTGAGCTGACACATGGGCAACATGGGTTCTGCACATCCCCTTGTTGAGGTGAACATTTGAGCCAAGTTTGAAGAAAATCCTTCAATTAGTGTAGGACTTACAGAGCGGACACAACATAATGTGTAATATTTGATTGTTTAATATTTGACCTTCAATTGTGACCTTGACCTTGAGCTGACACATGGTCAACATGGGTTCTGCACATTCCCTTGTTGAGGTGAACATTTGAGCCAAGTTTGAAGAAAAGATATAGAAATTATTAACAAAAAAATAGTTATTTTATCAAATTTTCAACAATCAAAACTTACATCTTAGACTAGATTGTATTGTGTTTACACCAGTGCTCGATTGATCATTTTTGTCAGTTTAAAATGACGTCATTCTAGCGCATTTATGAATAAGTTGCATATTTAGGATGACGTCATTGCGCTGCTTACGATTTGGCGCCAATTTGTAAAAAGTTTTATCAACTGATAAGGATCAAACCTGTGGCGCTAACTAGTGTATGTGTGATATTATTTCAGCATTTTATGAAAACAAAATATTATAAGAACGGAAAATATCGATAATAAAACCTTATTACACTATATAAAGGGAGGAAAAATAACAGCCGCATAATTATACAAGTAGTCCCTTACCAGTGTTTGTTGGCAGTTTAACACTGTTTTTTTTCTTCTTTGTGTATAGTGAGAAAATCACGAGTGTTAGAAAATAATTTAACAACATATACGTTTTATTATTATTATTCAGTTCCTCAGATCTGCTTGTGCATCCAACGTATTTTCATCGAGTGTTGTATAGGACAATTATATGACCATTCCTGTAAAGCAGGGTCTATTTGAAAGCCCCTGTGTAAAGTTTTCGGAAATCCAACATGTCCTTTTGATGTTGTTTACAGAACTTGTAGATAAAAATCGAGCATGGCTGGGTGGTAAATAACACATCCCAATAGTAATCTGAGGATCTCTTGCTGCGTGTGTTCAACGGGGCGACTTTTTTTTCCTTGAGCAAGATACTTTACCAGTACACTCATTGCTCAGTACTGGTTTGTTCCTTAAAATCTTAAAATTATCCCTGTAAATAACACTGTTCGAGGGAAAATGTATTCAAGTCATAAACAGCATTTCTAACACACTAATAATCTTACACCCATATGTTATCATGTCTTGTAATACCAATTAATTTAGGCTGCCTTCCAAAACTGCTCATAACTGAGATTTACTAGTATACTTCAAAATTTTATTTACATTCTTGCATCAATACAACAAGAATAAGTTGTAGAGTAAACAAAGTAAACTTAAATCATTTAACAACCAAGATGATATATCAACATAATAATGAGCCGCGTCACGACAAAACCAACATAATGGGTTTGCTGCCAGCATGGATGCAGACCAGCCTGCGCATCCGCGCAGTCTTATCAGGATTCATGCTGTTCCCTTCAGTTTCTTTACTTGTTATAGGGTATGTAAGTGAACAGCATGGATCCTGATCAGACTGCGCGGATGCGCAGGCTGGTCTGGATCCATGCTGGTTGCAAACAGATTATGTTGGTTTTGTCGTGATGTGGCTCAATTATATGTGTACATGTATGTTCAAAGTATATTATCAGAATTTACCTATATTAAAGATGTATGGTAACCAGTACAGGCCAACCTGTGTGTATGTGCCTTCTGACCAGACTCTATACTGTTTCACTCTGATATTGAAACCCCATTTAGATTAAACAGGTCCAGAAAAAAATAACAAGATATGTTTATTACACAGATTTAAAATGGGGATGACATCATATTGGCCACATTATTTTATTTTTTTTACATTAAGGAGTGATCACAATGTTACATTTAACAATTAATAAATCTCTTCAGTATTGACCATTGATTTCATTTTGGACATATTCAACAGACAAACCTTGGGATCTGTCTATTCTAAAACAAATAATTTTCAAAAATTAAAAAACTGGAAATAGATTTACTAAACATATAATAATTATCAATCATGTGTACATTCTTTTCACATAGTGAAAAAAATAATTAGCTGCATTAACAAATATACATTCAAAGGTTTTGATGTAATATGAAGAAATTGCCCATAAAGTAACCCTTTAAAATTATCAAAATGACTGAAGCAAAAAGAAAATCAATAATTTTGTAAAAGTAATTCTGCTGCTATAAAAACAAATACACATTCATTCTTTAAAAACGTGTAATAACAACAAATAAAATTACAAAGAAATTCTTACACAAAATATGTATTGTATGAACAAATGAATTTAAAATCATAGTCGTATTTGACCAGTCGGACAAAATTTATACACCTGAAATTATGTGCACTCCAAATTAACATCTTAATATTAGGACGACTTCTCTCCAAATTAACCTTAATTGTGACCACAGCAATAATGACTTATCTTTATAACATAGAGCAATGGTAGTTGCAAAGTGTGAACAATCCAACCAGACTCTTTCCCTGTTGGCAGCTCAATCTTTATATTCTGATTCTGAACCCCTGAAAACCAGGAAGATTCCTAAATTTAAAACAGAACAAGATCATCCCAATTATTCATATTAAGTCACTGCTCAGTCTGCTGTGGTACTTTGAAATCTTGTACAACAATTTCTATGTTATCAAGTATTACCTTGCTCTCTATTCATACAAAACACATACATGTACATTATTACAACTTTTTGATACTGAATAGTAATTCTCCAGAAAACTTTCATCAGAATGGTCAAACAGGAATATTGCTACACACTATTTATTGTTGCTACAAACACAATACAAAGAGATCACTGATACTGTGGTAGAGGTAACACTCTAGTATTTCATCTATTTAAACTAGGGATAATTGTTAAATCATATATATAAAACAGCAAATATAGTGTTTTAACGAACCTTGAAAATCCTCTTTTAGAACCATTATGGCTTCATGATAAGAGTCTGACATGATAATTACTTCTTCGTTCAATTTTAACAATAATTTAAATGTATTAAGCTGAAACAGTTGTACAAATGTATAGAAACTCAATATAACTGAGTAAATACTAACTTATAAGGTATTTGTTTATCTTTTGATTTTAAGTGATATACTCAGCACTTCTTCGAGAGTAAAAAAAAAATAAACCATTTGAAATCACTTCTGTCTGGTATGTTAACTTCATGCCCCTTTTACCATCTTAATACATCACACAAATGTCACAAAAGAAACACATGTACTTAAAAATAAATGCATGAATGTTAAAAATTTGCTAACACACAATCTTCTCTTCAGGAAAAGTAGAGGCTTATTAACATTACGAATTTAACAAAATCAACAAGAAAAATGAGTTTTTGACATATGAATGAAAATAATGATAAAAACGATACTAATTTTCAGAACCTATTATAAGGCATTCTTTGCCTCGGGGAGAAAAAAGGCCTTTTAGCCGGAGATGGTCCCCTGAAATTGTCCTGAAATCTTGGTCTATGCGGGAATCCACCCCTTGGCCTGAATCCACCATAATCTGGTGGCCCCTGAGGCCTATGCTGCCATGGCCTTTGTTCTTGCCAATGTGGTGCATGTGGCGGACCATTATTATCATGTCTATCAAATTCAGAATGCCTTTCAAAACCTTCATGCCTTTCAAAGTCATTTCTCCTTGCAAAATTTTCATGCCTATCATACTCTGGCTGATACTCAAAATCACGATTGTTATCAAAGTCTTCACTTCTTTTTCTTTCCTGCACTTCATTGTTTGCCTGGTTAACATTCCAGTCATTTTCAGGTTGCCAAACATTGTCAACATTACCGTTATTTCCAAATTCCTGATCTTCATTATCTAACTCCATATCATCTGACTTAACAGATGATGGTCTACCTAACACACCTATTGTACTAATAGGCTCCCCTTTTGAATGATTATTAGAAAAATTACTTTCTGAATCATATCTCGAGTGATGTGATTCAGCTGTAGATATTGTTGTTAAGTTTCTACTTGATGGCGGTGCACTCGGAAAATTTGCATTTGCACCGGATTTTTGCTTAAGAATGTTGATGAATTCAGACTGCGTACTGTCAGCATGATTTGTTACCGGTATATTTTCAGCAGGCGATTTTTTCAAGATACCCACTGGTTTATGTTCTCGAGTCTGAGGAATAACTGGATTATAGTTTGGACTTGTGTCCAATGAGGATGCAAATGAGTTTGCCTGGCCAGATGTTTCTTCTACTAAGGTTACTTCTCGCAGGGAGGACTTGCGATTGTTGCGCAATATACTTTTCTTTGGTGCTGGAGGCAGTGTTGTCTCCAACATCTCGTCAGCAAATTCATTGTCATCATCATCCTCGTCATAATTCTGAGGCTGATCCCATGGATGTGCATAACCTTCAGACTGGTTACCTTGATCCCCTACATTTTCCTCCCAGTTAGAATCATTAAAACCAGAATCACCTTGGTTTTCCCAATCTGCTCTCTGTAAAGAAGCTGATGAGATTTGGTTACCATAGTTTTCATCTGGTTGGTTTTGAGCCCTAGAATTTTCAGGCTGCCAAGTCAAAGGAGCGGCAGAATTTGGGGGAGGTGGTGGGGGAGCAAAGGGCACCCTAGCAAATGGGGGCTGGGAAGGGGGAGGAGGGTAACTAGATACTTGTGTTGGATGTTGATTTAGAGTTTGTGGGTACCTAGGAGCTTGTACAGGCTGCTGTGGAGGAGGGAAACGAGGAGCTGAGTTCAGCTGCTGTTGCTGTCCTGCAAGAGGACCCCTTTGTGACAAGAGAATAGGTCCAGAGTTTGATGCTGGTGGTGCTACACCAAATGGTACATTTGGATTGAATGGCATTCCTGGTTGAGGTGGAACCATATTTGTTGGTGCTACAGAAGCTGATAAAACTACAGGTTGACTTGAACTGACCTGTGGTAAAAACTGTTGACTGTTTGATGGTGGTGGAGGCAGTGGGGGTGGGGGATTAATGAATGACTGAGAGACACTTTGTCTCATTGATGGCGGAGGAAGGGAGAAATCTTGTGGAGATGGGGGTTGCATATTGAAAGGGCGGGATGGTAAAGATTCAGGGGGAAGAGGGTGTTGTGGTAAAGGTGGCTGGTGAGCCATATCTGTTGTTTTAGGTTGGGAGATTACAGGAGGGGATGAAGGGTCAGGTTGACCAGCATTAACTTGTTTCCAACCTGACCATGAATTAGCCTGGGTACTTGGTACTGGAGGCGGGACCCCAGAAAACTCTGCAGGGGCTGATTTTGGAGGGCCTGTTAACCCTCCAGAGAAGGTTGGGGAAGGAGGCTTAGGATCTTCCTCTGGCTTCGGAATTTCAGCTTCCTCACTTTGTTTCTTTTGGTATTGTGTTTTCACTGTATTTGTTAACAGTGACAAAGTCTGAAGAAAATTAGAGCTGCTTGAAGAACTACTTGTTTTCGTTAACAACTGACTAAGAAAGTCAATTGGATTTGTTTTGGTTTTGGTTTCCTGTTTGGGTGGCGGCACAATTTTTGGTGGAGGTGAGGGTTCTTTATCCTCCTGCTCATCCTGGACTGGAGTTGAAGACCCAGCATCATCCCCTATTGGCTCAACTGGTTGAACAGGTGGTACCGGTTGTGGTGGAGGCGGGTTCAACCTGGGTGGAGGCGTGTACACATCTGGTACCTTGATGGCAGGAGGGTCGGCTTTAAACAGATCTGGTGGTTGACCTTGGGCTGTAATACCAGGCATGTTACTATTCCCTTTAGCTAGATTGGGCAGCATTGTAGCAATTCTTGACTCCAGGATATTAGTTCCTGAAAATTTAAAAGCACAACATTATACATACATAACATGGTACAATTATTGTAATAATGTGCTTGCATTCAATGAGAGAACATTCTGTATACCCAACCTATCATAAAAGAGTGTTTAGTGAATAGTGACAAGCCAAAGACCTCTCAATTTTACAGCCAAATGAATACAACATGTAATATCATAACTTAAAACTCACCCAAACAATCAGAACAATGCAAGAATGGTTAATATAAGATAATATAAACAAATAATTTCATTGTAAAATACAAACCACCTGACTGAAGCCTTTCAGTAATCTTAGGTACATAATATTAATAGGAGTGACAACGAATTAAGTATCTTTAAAAACATTGATAGAACTGCATAATAAATGTTAAATAGCTCAGTTAGATTAAAAAATATTTTATAAAAATCATTTCCTTACCAGTAGATACTAAAATGCATAGAGTTAATTATATTCTAACATTTGTACCATTTAGCTAAAACAGTAATTTTGCCTAAATAAATGCCCCTATTATTCAATCAGTAACAAAGGGCCAAAACTCAGAAACAATAGCTCATTAAGCATTGAACATATAGATCTCTAAAGTTCACAATAGACATTTGATAATTCATAACTAGACTAGCACATTACACCGTCCAGACAGTAGGGTAAGAGATAAACTCAGTATACTGTGGTTCATGAGACAAAACACTCATATTATTGAATAATATCTGGCTGGACAGAAGACTAGTAACAGATGACACGTTATAAATGAATGAAATACGACATAAAACTGATACTAACCTTGAAAAGATCCACCTAGCATGCCTTGATTACCAGTTTCTGCTTCAGGTTTAGATACTTGGTCTGAAACAAAAGTAGAAATATCATTAAATGTTGAAAACTTACAAGGCCTTTCATTTTCCTATATAGTAACTAACAGTTAACTGAGGCATTCCAAATGCCGAAACATTTTTTTTCTCTCCTATTTGATATCATTCTCATTTGTGTGACTGTCACTCAGCATTAATGCTATTGTTTACTTTCTATGAAATGGCATTTTTTTTTGTTAAAGAAAAATTCTTACAGATACAGAGCTGACACAAAAATTTTGAAATTCATACAAAATGACTTAGTGTGACCTTGACCTGAGGCGGGTCAAACCTGCACTCTGCACATCATTCCATTATGATTAACATTTCTGTTACGTAGCTTCAATTTCCTTCCACATGTTTAAAAGATACAGATCAGACAAGAAAACTGCTAACAGTTTTTTTGTTTGTTTTGGGTTTTATGTCACACCGACACAGTATAGGTCATTTGGCGACGTTCCAGCTTTACTGGTGGAGGAAGACCTAAGGTGCCCTTCTGTGCTTATTTCAGGCACGAACGGGCAACTTAGTAAAACCACCGATGTTCTGTAAGTTAGCTGGATAGCTTCCTCACATGAAAGAATCCAAAGTCCCTGTAGGGATTTGAACCCACAACGGTGAGGGGCAAGTGGTTTGAAGTCAACGACCTTAACCACTCGGCCAAACCCCCTAAAACTGCAAACAGACAAATGGACAACAAGGTGTATAACATCAGTTTTCAGGCGTATAAAAAAATATCAACAACTACAATGACATTAATTTCATAAAGTAAAAGATTTCATATTGAACTGAAGTTGTCATATCTGGTCACAATTTTGGTAAAAGATTGTCTCATTTATGCATGTAAATTATGTAAGAAAACAGAATAAGATATTCTTTAACACAATATTCAATATAAATTTTTAGAAAGGTTAGTAATTTCCATTAACTTTGCCCATACAAAATCTGTTTTCATAGAAATTTACATAAATCACTCTGGTTAGATACATTTATATCACTTTTATCAAGATAAAAACAAAACAATTTAGTGACAACAGACAACTTGAAATAGAACTTTTTAATATTTAAATCAATTCAACTTTAAAGTCATACATTTCAAAAATTGAGCATTACATAAATCACAAAATTTACAGGTACAATAACCTAACTGTGTTGATAATCATTGAGTACTGTTAATACTTAAACATTTGACAAAGATGCACATATTAATTCAAAAACTATTAATCAGTATTCTGACATCAAAACTTTTCTTCAATTAACATATTATAACATGTTGGAACTCAAATTGACCAGTCTTTGCCCTGAGTATAAAGCCATGCCAGTCTGTATGTCTCAAATGTGTAGACTGACCAGGCTCTACACTATTATCAGCTATATATTTATATTTTGATATTAAAATCCTACGCTAAACCTATGAATGGATTGTTTAAAATTCTAAGATAGGCAAATCAGTTACACAAACTGAGCAGGTTAAGAGATAAAGTACAAGTTATATTACAGTACAGTGTATGGTTTTCTTTATTTCATAAGGACTTATTAATGCAGTTTCGAGTTTTTTATAAAATTTTCTAAATTGGTAATTTCACCAGTTTTAAACATGAAACTTTATAAAATATTGATAATTTGTTGGAAATTTTAAGGCGTTGTTTCAGTGAAATACCAGCATGCACAGTACTGGGAACCAACTTTATGACGTGACGTCATAAATGACGTCACGTTGTATTATTATTTGGCGCGCTTTTCATTCAGTATTAGGTTTAATGTCTTTTTAAAACGTTTCTTTGCATATAATAAAAAGAAAATTTGTTTAGATTAGTGTAAGATTGAAATATATTTCACCTTGTGAACACCAAAAGTTCATATTTCACTTGTGGCTGCGCCACTCGTGAAATTTACCTTTTGGTGCTCACTCAGTGAAATATATTCCGATCTTACACTGAACTAAACAAATATCCTCTATATAATTGAAGTTTCTGAGAACCAATTCTATTTTGCTAAAGGTTCTTCTAAATTTGAAAGTTTACCAACCAGAAATATTGTAAAACTCAGAAACTTTTAAACAAATATATGAATTGTTGGGAAATGAGGACTGAAAATATGATATGCTCAACAGTTTTCTTTTCTTTAAAATGTTTTAAAGAAGGTTCAAAAGTTGATCCAATAACTTAAGGTATGAGGACCCAAATGGGCACTATCAGGAACTAAAAAATTGACATCATAAGTCAGGTGTATACCTTAAAGTACACCTGTATGCAAAATTTAAACAAAGTTTACCGTACGGAAATCAAGTTATTGCCACTTTTCTGAACTCAAGCTAGGATGTTATGAGGGCCCTTTTTTAGAAAGTAGGAACCTTTAAATAATCTGCAATAACATTCTAATGAAAAATGTTTTCCCATTAAATTTTAGTAAGAAACAAATAGTACTATTCAGGTAACAATCCAAATAAGCAAAATTATGATTTCTACTTAAAATTTATGAAATCTGTATAAAAATGTTACCTTACCCCACCCATTTTTACCACGTGTCTGACCATTTTTCTACTTAGGGAGCCTAATTTAAAAAATTCTTAAAATTTACCCAAATGAGTGCCTGTTTTCAAAGTTTCCCTAAATTTTTAAAAAAGTATATTGGTTGATATTGTAAAATATGAAATACTTTTACCGTCTAGTTTTGATTATATTACACTTTGAAAATATCAGGTACCATATTTATTACTAGATTTAGCATAATTTAGCCAATAAATACCTATATAAATTAAAAAATCAAAATTAAACACTTTTTTCTTTCCAAATGGGACATGAGAGATACATAAATAATGTTAAAAGAAAAAAAGAAAGAAAAAAAAAAAAGTTGACCCTTCTGGGGATTGAACCCATGGCCCTCATTTTCAATGTAGTTAACAGTAGTTCTAGCCTATTTGAATACTCTTCAAAGCGGAGGTAATGCATTAGGGTGCTAATACCTTAAGTAAATGATTTTTTTTTAATGTATTAGTGGAAACTAAAGAAAGAGTAAGCAGTATATGTCACATGATGTGTATATGTGTTTATAGCTGCATATATTTATGAAATTTAGTCAAAGTGAAAAGGTTGGGTCATAAATAACCATTATAATTCCTTCAAGAAAAACATTATGATCTATTTTGTTAATTGATAATGCAATATCAAGTATTTGATGATAATCATTCGAACTTTAAATGCCAACACTCTTGTCAGATTAAATGCAAACATTATGATATTAATTGGTCAGCTTAGACAGCTTGATTGTATATTATAAGAGCTTGATAGTTAAACAAGAGCCTGAATAACGCAGAAATTTTTATGCTCAAAAAGGGCCAAAATTCTGTCAAAATCAGTTATGGGCCTTGGACAGTCATCAACTGTGCTCGCAAAGTGTGTAAAAATTTCAACCAGTTCCCTTCGGTAGTTTTGGCAATACAAACTGGCACACAAAAACTTAACCAAAGTGTCTGGCACACAAAAACTTAGCCAAAGTGTTGACACTGATGTTGACGCATGAGTGAATACAACAGCTTCCCCTATTCCTTGAATTGTCTAGCAAAAACTTTCTTTTGGTTTGAGGCTCTAGTATATTGGGACTTAAACTTCACACTTACACACTTATAAAGTCTGCTTTAAATTAACTAAGTGTTTGAAATTATTTTTTGTCCAATAGAATTGCAGTATTTCAAATGAATCATAAAACATTTACTTTGGTAAATCGGCAAACTGATAATCAGTCTAGTAAATCAACTGTTTGTAAAAATAATTTAAAACACTAAGCCACGCCAGACCAATTTAATTTTGTAAATACATACTAATAAACTTTCACATTTACATGGAGCTTAATCCTTTAAATTATATGACAAAATATTCAATAAAATAACCATAATAGACATTTCAAGTTTCGATTAGTGCTGGATAGTAAACTTCACAAAACATTATCTGATAAAATGACCATGTTTTGGATCCCGGGAACTTTTTGCTAAGAATTTGATCATTTGTAATACAGTTTGTCATATAATTCCATAATTCTTTTAAACAATACAGATGGATTAAGCCTAATTTATGTCAGTATCCTTGTTTTTTGTACATGTAGCTCTCATTTATTACTTTTATTCTAAATCAAGTTACATTACCCATAACTGGTAAACTTTATTCTACTCTATTTTACACTTTGAGTCAGCATAATACATGTATTCTTAGGTCCCCATTCCTAAAAGACTTTATACAAACAATGAATCCATTCATTTAAAATTATACAAGTTCAAACCCTACATAATGGCAGTAAGATGTTTCAGTAATTGACCCGTACCACATGAAGTATGTAAAATGGACATGTCCATCTTTCAGTCTGGATAAAAACACTTATCATTTTTAGAGAAAATTTCTAAATATGTACTGACTGTTAAAACCTATTTAATTGTACATGACTGAATGGAGAACAAAGCGGGCACGGATATGTCTGGGTTGATTCAGTCGCGGGACAAATAGTTAAAGGTTAAAAAGCTTGCAAGGAGCAAACATATAAAGCAGAAACTGAATAAACAGCAATCTATAGTCTTTGTATCACCAAGTCTCTCTGCCAACCTTCATTGTCACTTTTCTTTGCCTCTCACAAGGTTTTCTTATAACCCTTTAGTGCTGAACTTATTTGGCCATCATTTTTAAAATGTGTGTAACAGTATTTTTGGCATGTAACTAAATTTTTATTACATACATTATTTAATTGAAAGTGAAAAATATAGATCTAGTTAAATGAACAAACAGCCAGCAAAATATCTTGTTCCAATATTCCTTCAAAAATTACTTTCATTTCTGCACTTACATTTTTTTAATATACAAAATAAAAATAGTTATATTTTTCTTAACTTTCCAAGAGTTCAGATACAGTCAGACTCAGGCAATAATTAAAAGGAAAAAATCCATGCAGCTCATAAAATTCGGTTTTGCAAGTCACTTTTAGACAGTGTAAAATTTCTTCATTTTCTTATTTTTATACTTATATTGCACAAAATAATTAAAAGCCAGAGTGATTTCTTCCCAATAATAAAAGAATCTTCAGTTTACTGTCTAAGGCCGTAACCAGGCCCTGTAGAGACTGAGTTTACAATCAAAAGAATTTTATTTATCTTTTTTTTTTTTTTTGGATAGAAGCAAATGAATTAACAACTTCATCCATAACGTAAAAATGGTTTTATCCTTAGTAAGCAACTGAAAGATAATAGCTATGGAATTAATTTATTTTGAGCATATGATGTATTTTATCGGAGGCTGTATGATGACATTTTACCAGCATAACTTTGAACACTAGAAAATGCAGTCTGATGTGTTAAAATAGTCCTTACATAATGCAATCAAAGTAATTACTTAAAATCAATGTCTACTTAGTGTACTTGATGATACAAAGACTGTCATTCTTGCTCTAGGAAGAATGGTACCTGTCTTGCCCACGACAATGTTAGTTAGACTTGCAATTGGTTGACCAATTGATTTAACCATCGCTGTATAAGCACGACCTGGCATTATAGGCACAGGATCTAGAAGGCAAACATTAAATTGTTACATAAATTCATATATAAGAAACAGTAAGCTGTCAGATAGCTAGTCTTTTCGTAGAACTAAATAAAAGTGAAATAAGTCTTTATAATCTGAAGTAAAAAAGGGGCATAACTAAAAAATATTTGTCCTAAAGTAATGTATTCTTGCCTTAAAATGTGGGTGAACATCTCTAGTGAAGTATCATATGTTTACAAGCAATATCTCAAAGGGTTAAAAAGTGAGATGGTACAAAAAAAATAAAAAAAGAGGGATGGTAGAAAAACTTAAACTAAAATGGCCAGAAATTTGGCATACTGCCATGATCCGGAGTGAAAACCAACACCACCTCACTGCAAAGAGGCACTTATTGTCAAAATCCATTACAGAATTGTGTCATGGGGGAAGATGGTCTAAGTTTCAAAACAATACTTCAAAGGGTATATTTCAAGTGTAGGGTAGTACAATAAGCATAAAGAGAGTAATACTGGAACCAAGGCAATGGTGTGTATATGTGGTATGTTTTTAAGTATCAAATATTATTCAATAAATTTTATATAACTTGGTGCTAAAACAGTAATAAACTTTTCTTTTTCTTTGAAATAAGACCTAATAGCTCTTCTTGAGCTTCAATTACAGTTTAAAACAATACCTTAGCAAGATGAGCGTACTAATACCTTAGTAAGATGAGCATTTCTAACAGTATTTTAAATATCACAGAAAAGTGACAGAAATGTACCAAAATCTTACTTTCTACCATTTAATCAAATTGGGATTGATTTTGGAACAGGAAAGACAGATATTTAATTTTTATTTGACTATGTGTAAAACAGTACATTGTGTGTGAAAATACCACACATCTTAAATACATGCACAAAACATTAAAACAAGGCCAACATTAAGAGTTGAAACTTAAAACTATGACCTTCACCTGTCATGTATTGATTAACCTTTAAAAACTCAAATAAGTAAGGTTAACATTTTTGTTTAATTAGATTTTTTGACTCACTAAGCTATAGTTAGGCCCGATATTTAATTTTGGAGACCTTAAACCTACAAGTTACATTCCAATCACTTATAAAATTGAGCCCTCAACACACAAACACAAGAGATTATAGACTGATAATCAAACTCTGAACAATTTTTTTCTTCTTCCATTATTCAAATTCTATAAATATAAATTGACAAGACAGTTTCTAGATCCGTTATCACTATTTAGAGGGGTATAAATCTAATACCTTACAGATGAGAAATTTCTATTCAAATTTCTGTCTGATCACCTTCTTTATAAAACATTTTCATTACTTTTAATAACTTTTGAATACCTTTGATTTTTTGCTTATTGTATTTTTAATAAGATACTTAAATATATCAGTAAGATATAAGCCATATCACATCAGTGTAATATAGAATTTTGTTGCCATTCAATACAATGAAATGCACAGCAAAGTAGAACTCATTACATAGGAAGATTGTTATAACTTCATATAAATCAGAGTCCTTCTATGTCATTTTTGTTAATTCTTGATAAAACATATTTTTATGCCAAAACTAGAAAGTAGAATATGATGTAAGGCAAAAGTAAACTTTGTTTGTTTTCAGTAAATATGGAATATATCAAACTTTGAAACAAGTTTTTTTCCCTTACATTTCCAATTTTGAAAATATTGCGGAAAAAAAATCTCGCTTCTTAATGAGATATATTCCATATTTACTAAGACCAAACAAATATCCTATACTTTACAATGATATTCTCACCTTGCTGTTTAGCTGCCTCTGAATCTTCATTACAAATTTCCATATCCACCGTCTCATTATCATCCATGTTTAGCAGTGGCGGAGTGTTACCAGGGGAAGGGGCGTCGGCTGTCGGCGAGGGCATGGGGCTCGGTGTGGATGGTATAATCTTTTTCATGTCATCAACACGTTTTTTCATATTTGTCACCCTTGCACCAAAGTTTTTGTAAGCCTAAAAGAAAGTCATTTCATATTGTACAATTTAATACGTAAACTCCATGTAAAATATGTTTTGCTCTTAACCTGTTATATATGGACCTTTCAGTTTTTAGCAGCAAAAGATTTAGTCTATTGCTAACGAACAATATCACAAACAAAAGTCCAAACCAAAGTCTAAAAACAGAAGTTTATTACAGAATAGACACAGTGTTCTATAAAATTTGTTTCTTACTTGAATTGCATTTTCTTATAATTAAGACTTAACACTGGTAAACACATTTAGACAGCAAAGGAAGGTAATACATACATTTGCCACAACTTTAGCTTCATCAAACTGGGTACAATAGAAATCTTCAGCATTGTCACACATTGACAGGACTACCCTGCGCTGGCGTATTTCTTTTTCCAACATTGCAACATAGTCTTCTATCTTCACACAAGACTCCTCAAATTGGCGACAAAATTCATTGCCATGGGAACGATCTAGAAAAATTTCAATCATGCAGAAATATGTATTCAAGCTTTCTTTTATTTTAAGCTAAACTTAAACTTTAAACTGTTGTTTAAGGAACTATGTTAAGGAAATTCTAAATATAATTTTTTTTATTTTTTTCATTTAAAATGTTTTTTATTTGTTTGTTTGTCTGATTGGTTTTTACGTCACACTGACATTTCATATGGCGTCATTCCAGCTTTACTGGTAGAGGAAGACCTCAGGTGCACTTCTGTGCATTATTTCAGGCACTAATGCGCATCAACGTTTCGTAAGCTTGCTGGATTGTAAAATGTTTTTTAAACAACATTGTAATTTCTTACAGTATTTAAACAATTAGTGATTTGTGGTATGATTTGTGATTTGTCAGGTCAGAATCATCGATCGTACCAGATCGCTACCTGTCTGGCAATATACAGCCCTTGTAAGTTATAAAGATTTTGAATAACTGTCATCATATTTTTCGACTGCGAGTTTTCATTTAAATTCCCTTATCAAATAAAAGACAATATACATAGGCAGTTGACAATCAGATATACAAACAAAGCAATGAGATAGTATGTCCTGAAGACACATCTACAGGTCTGTCAAAAATATCATTTTTTATATGTGCATTTTGCATACAGGTTTCTTAAATTGGTAAATAAAGCTACCAAAAATCATCTTAATATTTCAAAGAAAACTGGTAAACACAGATATAACAATGTAAACCAACCTTTTAGCTGTTTCACTGCCTCAATATTTGTTGCATCAATTCTGAGGGCTGCTAACTGTTTCGCTTTCAGAGTAACATCCCCTTCAAACTTCTTTAATGATGATATTTGATCCAGAAATGATGGAGGCTAAAATATAAGTGTCAAAAAATATGAATAAGTTTTTATAATGTATCGCTCTCTACCAAAAATTGACCATGGAACATTTAAAGAATTCAATCTAGCTTAAGACTGTAACTGTATTCCAACAAACATTAATCCAAACTGTATTCAACTCAGATCCAAACTGATATTTATCTTTTTTTTCAGTTTATATAGATATCATTTACCTGAACGATTGTTTGCTCCAAATGAAATTGTACTCCTCTGTATTAATCTTCAGCTGATCATACAGTACAGATATACTAATGTATAACAAGAGCATTACATGCAGTGTTGTAAATGCTTGCCTTTTCAAAATTCTAAAGTAAAGGGAGCATAACTGCAAAAATGTTGCATTCAGAATTATGCCCCTTGTCTAACAACTGCCCCTTATCTTCATATGATAAAAAGCAAGTATTCCAAGTTCCATGTTGATGCCTTTTTAAATGTTTGAATAAAGAACTACATGATGACAACCACCCTTCAGCTATTACCATAGCTTGATTTTTTCTTCAAAACAGTAAAAAGTAAAGTACATTCATTTTTAGCAAAGTTTACCTTAAATTCACCAGATATATCTGGGGTTTCTTCAACTGGTTTGGCAATAATTTTATCACTATCTTTGTTAGCCTTTTCCTTCCTGTGTTTCTCTTTCAGCTCTTTACTGCTTGGCTTATACACCACTGGGGAAACTTGGGCCGGAGTACCACTTGCACTAGAGCTTTTACTTGATGATCCACCTGTAACATGCAAATTTTACAATATAAAGACTAAACAGTTTGCTGAAATTTATGTGTGTTAATCTTAAAACTTTTGTATATCAAGAGTCTCAGAAGTTATCCTTGTCAAAAATGATTCTATTCATCAAAAGGTTTATAAATCCATGTATGGGGAATGCCCCCACATTCCAATCATAAGACATGATTCAGATGAACAGCAGCACAGCCAGACGAAATGACGAGTGCAAGTCTATTTCTTCACACCAAGGGGCATAAAAACAAGGCATTATAATAACCAAAACATGCTGGAAGGGTTGGAACAGTGACTCATCTACCTAAAGCACTTAAAAGACATGATCAAATTAAATTTATGATTGAAATTTTGATGAATGTATTTAAGCAACCTCTTATTTCTTTTTATGGACAAATTTTTTCTTACTGAATTGGATGCCCACATGAGAATCATTTTTTAAATCCAAATTTCACATAAAGTTAGACTGTAAATATACATTTTACTTATTTAAATGATGAGAAACAGGTTCTCATGAGAGTGATAAAAGAATTTCATGAGATATAAACACCAACCTTCCATAAGACTTCGAAGTTCCTTGATGAACTTTGCATCGTATGTCCTTCTTTCATCCCATATCTTAAAGATGCGCTCAATGTTTGGTTTAATTGACTCAAATTCTCTGAAAACATTAAACAGACACTCCATGTCAATAATCCTTACAGCTGTCATCCACAGAAACAATATCATTGCATCATTAAAAATTTTCTGTTGATCACTAATTGATATACACATTCGAAAAAAATCAATGATTTTGACTAATTAGTTAAAATGTCTAGAAATTATGTCTAAAACTATGCTGAGTGTACGTAATGGACATATTTCATGTCAGTGATGAGAAAAAAATGATGCAATTGGCATTTATATACAAGACACGTCAAATTGTAAGAACATAATAATGATTTTTACTGAAATCATTTAAATGGGTATAAAAGTAAATTAAAGACAAGTTATAATTATATGTAACATTTTAACACTCCTCGTGATTTTGTCACTACAGACAAAGAAGAAAAAAGCCGGTGTTAAACTGCCAATAAACACTGGTTAGGGACTACTTGTATATGCGGCTGTTATGTTTTCTCCCTTGATTAGGCCATCCTTAAAAAAATGTTTGTTTGCAGTAACGCGACCGACTCACAAAATTTGCCCCTACTCAAAATTTTTTTTCATGGTCTGGATAAAAATTTATTTTTTTTGAATCAGGAAATTATGCCTTGTGCTTTGTTTTTGTTCTTTTAAAGGTTAATAGAAGAAATAAAATGTAGGTCTTATTAAATTAGAATTCAGTTATCAATTTATTAATTGTTACCAGATTATCAAAGCATATATTGTCCAGCATTTTGAAATTCCATGTTTATTTGGGAGTACAGTTGAATAAAAAAAAAAAAAAAATCGACCTACCTACCCACCTTGGAAATTCTGGGTCGGGTTACTGCAAACAAACATTTTTTTTAAGGATGGCCTTATTAACATTGTCGTTTAATGAACTATATTTGAGTGATATAGCACCATATTTCATGGGTAAGATTAAATAAATTGGTGTATTATTGTTATTTTGCAGTGTTCGAAATTAGCAGTAGTCCTATAGCCTCTGACTACTTAATTTCTCCTCGGGCTATCAACTTTTCACAGTAACAAGCCCGACCAGGCTACTGTATTTTCAGAGGCAATATAAGCAACTGTTTTGAACAAGTGAATCATGCTAGTGAAATGTCTTTTGGGCTAGTGAATATCCCAATCTGGTAGTCCGACCAGCCTAGTGGATTCAAATCCTAATTTCTTACACTGATTTTGTCATCCAATATTGATATATCGTCATAATGCTTCAAAATGAATCAATGTAACTTAATTCTTGACTTACTAACTGTAATATTGTATTATAACACAAATTTATATTTGTCTATCTGCTTAATTCAATTAATTATTGTAATGGATGCTAAAGATATCCTGCAGTTTTAAGATAGTAAATGCATGCTTTAACAGAATACCAACATTTTTTCTGACATTAATTTAATAAAGGAAAAATAAAACTTACCTTACAATCTGTACCGCTTCCCGCAAGTTATCTTTAAAGTTCTCCAGATAATACAATGCTTTTTTCTTTTTAGCATGCTGAACAACATCATTGCACAGATAAAACAATGTCAACTTGTGTTTCGAGTCACCTGTATAATAATATAAACAACAGTATTAATAACTATTTTCATTCTGAAGATCTTGGACTGGTACTATATTAAATTTTGTGGTATAATTAGATTTCAGGACGCTTTTGTAAAAAACATGTAATAAAAGCACCTTCACAATTCGGACTGTTGCTAGAAGATGCAGCAGTCTTCTGTCCTAAATTACACTTCCAGAATGATGTAGAAAATCAGTAAATAAAGTCTATATAAATCATTGTTAAAAATGGAGGTAATGATGATTAATATAAAAGCCACTGTCGGACGGTGTCAATGCTCGACTTTTTTTCTGTTTTTTTAAAGCAAAAAAATAAAAGGTTGTAACAAATCTATTATTAGTTGACAAGAAAAATTAAAGAAAAAAAAGATTTTGCATTTTTTTAAAATTTCAATAGGTAGGTCTAGTCAAACTGTTGTTTTGTTCAAGTATGAATCATTACCATTATGTTCAATGATCAATCAAAAACTGTGCACATGGTCATATCACAAATGCTCATACACATAGCATATTCCACAAGAAAATCTTGCAGAATGATAAAACACGTATTAGTCAGCGTATATAATAAATACATTAAATTTAATTTTGAACTGTTAATGGATATAAGTAAAAAATAAATATCTTTTAACTAAATAATTAAACTGTCACATCCTAAAAATCATGTTTAACTCCGTTTATTGAATAAAATTCCTTATACAGCTGATATACAAATTGCCGTCACACAGTTTGCAAAATCTGATTGGCTAATTGAATGCAAGTGTATACACGAGTCAAAAGTTTAAAATGAAATATTTGCCCATACAATGTCAGCGTGAACTAATATATTTTTCTGTTCAAAAATTTGGAATCAACCTGTAGAGCGCGTTACTAAACCAATATGGCAGATAGACAAAAATAGAATATTGTATACATTTGATCTTAGATTAATATGGGGAAGTTAAAGGCAGAGACTTAGTGTTGCATCTAGAAATTATGGGGGACTGTCCCCCACTCAACTGAAAAATGTGGGGGATTTGAAAAAAATGTGGGGGACATGCATTTACCTAACAATATGAAATACCGAAAAGAATTCATTTATCTTACATTTAGGCATTTTTGACAGCTATTGTACGCTCAACAACGGAAATACAAAAAAAAAATATTGATAAATACTACAATACACACGCGAGATGACCGAGTTGGCTGCTACATGGCGATTTAATACGTATTTTAGTCATTACCGTAAGTGAAAACAAACATGGCTGAAGCGTTCAAGCAGCTCGTTTAAGATACGATGACGATAAAAAGATCGTTATATGCGCGACTTGGCTTCATTAAAATGCGCGATCTGCAAAAAAATATGTGCAAATCACTCAATGGCGCTGGAGACTGCACTTGGGCTTTGGCTTAACCCGCTATAGAATATTCATAATTATATATATTTAAAAAGAAATCAAAAAAAAAAGAAAAAAAAAAAAAAAATTGAAAAATATATGCAATTCTATATCTATCAGTGAAATTAAAGGATAACTCAAAGATAAGCACTGGGGTATTCCGATAACAGAACTATCGCAACTTTTCGTCTTTTAAGTCAGGGTTTTTTTTTTGGCTTATTTTATAGCCGTTATTGGGTCATACTCCCAATTGGAAATAGTATGTTATTTTCCCAACCCACAGGAAAAAATTCCAAATTGAATGTTACAAAATAAAAATATTGAATAAAAATTCTAAAAGCTTCTTCACTGTAATAGCGCTTAAATGTTTGAAGATGCCATCGTAGACAGTAATTGTTTGCATCCATTTAATCACTGTAAAATTTCAATCATGTAATTTTTCACAAAACACCGCTGAAATTTATGGGTCATGTTCCCAAAATCCTGGAAAAAATCCCTGTTCAGAATAATCACCAAAGTGCATGAAATACACCCATTCTCTATATGAACTACGTAAATAATCAACGTCTATTGAGGTTGGGTCCCTTATCTTAGAGTAAAGTCAATTTATATAGGGAAGTCAAAGGCCAGGTCTGCGGCTTGCCTTGCTTTAGACAACATGTGTATATTTAAAAGGAAATCAAATAAAAAAACAATTAAAAAATATTTAGATTTCTATACGTATCAGTGAAATTTTCAGTATCATATCTTGTAGGGCGATGCCATTTGCAATGAAAATAAATGAATAATGATAATAGGCAGGGAATTCCAATAAAGGAACAATGGCAACTTTAACAGCTCAATAATAATCGTCAAAATGTTTTGAGTAAAGACGTATGTGGTCCGTGAAATACTGAATAACACCTTTAAAACGCAAATTTTATGTAAAATAAAAAAATGAAAGTTTATTTTAACCGACTTCCCCGTTCATAGGCTTTGCCTGATTTCATATTACAGTGAGATACGCAATTCGTCGCAATTATACTGAATAACTGATAAAAATAGCCTGTCGTCTGCAAGTTTTGCAACTGTCAATCGGTCTATTGATAGAAAATCTGATAAACTTTTGATTAAAGGAATAAAGCTTGAAAGGCAAGACAATAAATATTTTTTAAAAAAAAATTATGCTGCTATGCGTATATGGCCAATAGCTATTTGGCGTTGGGCTTGTTCAACATAAACTATAACATGCCCGTAAATAATTGGAATATCTTTTCAATAGACAGATAGATCTCTAAATCTACTTACTCTTTCGCAACACTTTTATCCATGAATCAACAATCTTCTTATGGTGTGCCTTATTGTGCATTATCCAAAGGGACATTGCTTGAACACTTTCCTGACTACTATTGAATAGAATAAGTTTCTGTTCTATAAATTCTGACGAGATCTTCCCTTTTTTATCCGCCATTTTGCTGAGATTTTTTAACTTGAGAGTAAATTAAAGTGATTTTGCATAAGAATGCAAACTTGACTTGTCGATTTTTTTATCTGTCTACATAGGCGTGATGTTTCTCCAAGCATTCACTTTAGTTTTTAGTCACAAAACTATGACTAAAACAGTAAATTTGACGCAATTTCATTTTTTACAAAACGCATCATGCAAGGTAGCCATGTTGCAATCCCGGAGCAAATGACATTGAATACTCTGTTTTGATATTATTTATTTTTACAGTTATCATTTTATAAAAAAAAGGAACTGCCATTTGAAATATAAAAAATAAACGAGTTTAACATTTCTTCATTTGTTTTTGTATTCGTCATTGATATTTGCTGCTTTATTTATTGGAAGAAGATAAATAACGAAATGGATGAGATAAACGCGGAAAAGATATATTGTCATATCAATTGATGTTAAACTTGACATATTTGTATACTTGGGGAACACATAGATCTGCGGATGTTTCTAATTTCAAAATTCCACCATTTTCGTGTTTATTAAATGTTGAATTCTGCTTCAGTTGGTGCTAGGGGGCGTGGCCGGTAACTTACACATTCCAGTACCGTCCATGTAAGGCTCAATCAAACCGAATCTGCAACATTTTCAATTTTGCCGTGTTTGGCTTGCTTTAGGGAATTTTTATTTCTTCTGTGTTTTGTCTGCCAAAAAGAAATGTTGTTTATGGCTTTTATATTTTGTTTTGTTTTATTTTTATGTGCTTCTTATGTACTTCTTATGTGGTTACAACTGTTTTGTTTTGATGCTACTGATATATGCTTAAGCAGCAAGATGGTCGTTGGGTTAGTCTTACTGAAATATGACTGATTCCTCATTTTCATTTTTATTCTTTTTTAATTCCGATTATATGGCTAAGTGCACATAAAATGGAATTCTAGTATGTTGTAAACTAATATTCTGTGATGTTTGATTGTAGTGTGATATTTGCTTTTAATCAATTATTCTCTTATTCATATTGATATGTGTTTATAAATCTAATTTATTTTACGGATTCACTCATAAATGAACATCGATCTTCTTAATAATATTTTTTTCATTTATACAGGTTTTTTGTTTGAATTGTTAAATGATAGTCTGTTCTGTCGGAAAAAAGCTTATATAGCTAATGTTATTATGTTTTCTTTTTAACCGACTATAAATAATGATTATCTTATCTTATCTTTTTCTTTATTTCTCTATTTGAAAAAGAATGTCATTTGGAAGAATGCACGCCGTACACCTATAAGAAAAAGACCGTTAATTGAAAGAGTAATCTCAAAACAGCATTTTAGGTGAACAATTTTACTTTGAGATTTGTTACATGTTAGTAAATATGTTTACCGTCTCTGTTATTGTCGGTAAATAGCTTATTAGCTAATATTTGTTGTAATGTGTACACCGACTTAAAAAAGCTTCTTGTATTTTGTAAATTGAAGCCGTGATTCTTTGACACTGTAATACAAACTTAATTATGCATGAATTTCATTATTTGCTTGAATGTGATATTTTTAAGGACATTATAACTAAAATATTATAGAAATACGATTGTTGTTATTAATGCTAATATGTACATTGGAAAAATTAATAAACTGTTAAAATCAGGCTAAATATGCTCTGTTAGAATTTTCTTATATTTCGCAGTTTCTCAAAACAGCATCTTAGGAGTACAATATTAGGCTTAAATAAGCAAGTCAATTTATTAAAATTTAGACAATCTTTGGGAAAATCGGTAATGGGACATTTCGGACCGGACACTTCGGATCAGTTTTTTTGGACACTTCGGATCAGATTTCTGGTCATTTCGGATCAGTTAATATTAGGATATTTCGGCCCAATCGCATCTTCTTGACCCTTTCTGTCAAACCTCGGATTAGAAACTCGAACACAACAGTAAGAATTCACATACCGGATGTGGTCAATCGAAACATCTCGGCTATTAGCAATACTAACATCGGATTTAATACAAATTGAAAGTAGTTATACCTCGTGGTTTTAACAAAAACAGAGAATTTAATCATTGATAATGTATAACGAATGTAAATATTTGACATCCGAAGATTAGTTGATTTCGGATCGCATTGGACACATCGGGCCATGCCTTGGACACTCTGGACCACTGTATGGGATATTTCGGACCGAACCAAAATATAAAGTTTTTCAAAATATAAAATAACATAGCCTGTCAATTTTTTTTTATAAAAAGACATTCGCATACATGTATTCAAAATACATTGATCAATATAGAGCAATATGTATTTCACTATTGGTATAGTGTCCAGATCATGATCTGAAATATCCATCTCATGGTACGACATGTCCCAAAATCTGGTCTTGGTCCGAAATGACCAAACAATCTGGTCCGAAGTGTCTAGTCCGAAAAGTCCATGGTCAGAAATGACCATAAATAAAAAATCTAAATATTAAAAAGAAGTTTTTATGTACATGTACTCCCACGTATATAATTTAAAATTACTAATTTTCTCAGAAAATTTTCATACATAATAACACATATAAGGGTGTTAAATACTAGCCTGATGCATTCTTAAGTGCACATTTTAGAATACATGTTTCTACATTTCTATTATTAGAACATTTCAGACATTTAACGGTTTTAAATACTAATATAGAGAGTATATATGATATATAGACTCATAGATTTATTGCGGGTTGGTAGAATGACATGGTTTGAAATTACGCTTTTACTCGTAGAAAATCTAGTGGGGACAGGTAACACGGCCGTGCCCGACCTAGCAAAAATACGATATTCTATTCGAAATATCGGTTTGTTGTTCAAAAACGATTTAAGTGGGGACATTAATGTTATTGTCAACGTCTAGTGATGTCTATCAAGCAATATTATATATACAGTATATGTTTTTTTTTCTAGAATTACTTTTTTACACTATCTCAACCCTGTGCATTCAATGGGGGCTATTTTTACTTTATCAGTTTATTTTTTTTTTTTTTGATGCGTTTATTTAAGGTCGCCGCCGGAAAGCCCATATGGGCGACCGTACACTCAAGTCGGGCCATCCTAGAGCGTCCCGCCGAGATTTTTCGTCGATTTTTTCCAGCTTTATTGGTGGAGGAAGACCCCAGGTGCCCCTCCGGGCATTATTTCAGGCACGAGCGGGCACCTGGGTAGAACCACCGACCTTCCGTAAGCCAGCTGGATGGCTTCCTCACATGAAAGAATCGACCCGAGTGAGGATCGAACCTACAGTGGTGAGGGACCTGTGATCTCAAGTCAACGACTTTAACCACTCGGCCACGGAGGCCCCTTGATTTTATCAGTTTATCTAACTAGGGGCTCTATTTGTAGAATTATTTACCCAGTACTGTACCATGCAGACGCTAGAATCTGCCTTTATTCCTATATACAGTGACCTTAGTCTGGATTACCTGCCCTTTGTCTAAACAATTTGTTTACAATAGAAGCTGGGAACCAGACTACAGTGACCTTAAAAGCGGTACAAAATTGCGTCCGCGTTTAAGTCCGTTTCGGTATTTAGTCATTTTTGCTCAAAACACATTCCGCTTATTATGCATTCATTTCGAGTATTTTGGCAACTTAAAACGGAAATGAACTTTAGTGGATGACCTACATGACATGATTGACGTACGCTATCGTAAACTCCATCGAATGATTTTCCCATGAATGAAAAACGCACTGATATGAATGTGAACTCTTGCAAACGAAGTTATTTGCATAAAAGGCGGAGTTAATTATGGTATGAAATAACATACATTGAGTAAATATGTGTAAAAGTTGTAAAAGCCACATGTTTGTTCATACTTAAAGTTTTCTTTCATTCTTTCAGTTTCACAATAGCAGCACTTTGTCAGACTGATGGGATACAAAATTTTAGTTCAGAAGAATCAAACTTTACAAGAAGAAAAAGATAATATCACCAGTGTGGATATAAAATTTTAAGTTGTATGAATGTCATTCTTTGGATATTATTCCTTCAGTAGTGTTAGAAGTGCAGAAAATGGCACGGACAAGACTTGATCGAAACTTAAATTTTGTAGCTGGGACAATATTTGGCTTGTGTGTAGGACTGGTTTTGTCAACTTGGTGTCGAAACAAGTTACTACCATGTATGCCGACTTTCTCAAGATCCGGGTGCTGCAGTGGAGCTTTGGACTTCATCGAAAATGGTAATTTCAATGGCGATAATCAAAATAAAGAATCTCCAAATAGTGTTTATATCGAAGAAGCAGATGAAAAAGGTTTTATATTCATAGGAATCATGACTGCTAAAAAATACTTAGATTCGCGTGTTGTGGCTGCATACAGAACTTGGGCACAAAGTGTAAATGGTGAAGTAATGTTTTTCTCTAGTGAAAACTCAGAATCTTCATATGACGTGCCAGTTGTTAGTTTGAAAAATGTTGATGATTCTTATCCACCACAGAAAAAATCATTTGCTATGTTAAAGTATATGAGTGAACATTATCTTGATAAATATGAATGGTTTATGAGAGCTGATGATGATATATTTATCAAAGGTGACAAGTTAGAACAGTTTTTAAGGTCAATTAACAGCTCCAAGCCACAATACATCGGACAAGCTGGAGTTGGAACTAAGGAAGAGATAGGGTTGCTCAATCTAGGGAGCACTGACAATTATTGTATGGGAGGCACAGGGATGGTTTTTAGTCATGAAACTTTAAGATTACTGAAACCTCATCTGAAATTTTGTGTTGGAAACCTCTACAGTACACACGAAGATGTTGAGATTGGACGTTGTGTCAGAAAAGCAGCAGGGATTCCATGTACATGGGCTTTTGAGGTATTGTATTTGAAATCTTTGCATTTTTACTTATGGATGGCTATTTAAGTCAGTATTTTTTTCCACAATGAGAGTCCAGTCATGTTTTGTAACATCAAAAGATCTGTTACTGAAGACCATGAATGAAATCTGGTTAAGACATGTAGATCTACCATATCACTAATTTACTAAATGTCAATTATCCAATTGATAAATTATGCCATTCATCATTTCATGAAAATATTGGACTACAGAAGGTACTAACAGGAGGAGATGGAGGATTATAATGTCAATTACGTTACTGTAAGGTTGAAACGTAGTCAGTACGGACTTATATTGATTAAATAATAGACAGTACTTAGAGTAAATGATAACTTTGAATTTTTGACAGATGCAGCATAATTATGAATATTGATAATTCAATAGAAATATAGATATTAATATATGGGATCCATGTACATAATAAAATACAACAAAATAAAATGAAAATAAGAACCAAATTCTGAAACAAATGTATTTAAATTAGTTTTATTAAACACTGGCTAGTCATTATTTGTACTTATTCAGTCATTGTAATTAAATGAACAGTGTCATTCTGACTTTCTCACTAGAAATGAAAAAGTGACTGTCTCTTGTGAAAGTAAATTTATGAATATTATGGAAAAGGATTTTATACAAATTTTAATTGATCTGTTCAACCAACAAACTTATACAATACATAATGATATACATCCATGCTCTATAAATAATATTATGTTATCTTTTCATAAATCCAGCAAATAAATTCTCACATAGGTCATAACAAATGACATTTAAGTAATTATGTAGCGTGTGAAAAGGCGTTGTAAAATCTAGTCTTAAATGATTGTCAAAGTGTTGTCAATTCTGATGATGTGTAAATTTTCATGTATAGATACTGTTTAATCATGTATGATGAAGTTTAGAGATGAGAAAAAAAATGAAATAAAATTGAAAAGAAAAAGACTTCAATTTGTTACAAATTTTTAAGAATTATTTTTGTGTATATTACAATTTGGGCATTGTTCCAAGAGCACTTCTGTTTTCAGTTACTAGGTTCATTGGTTAAATGGCACTGTCTTGATTAAAACATAAGATTTTTACTGAATTTTATAACTCAGACTCAGAGGGTGCATTCTAGTATTATTGATATGAATCTAATTATCACAAGTTTGTTTCCCCCATACCAATATTTTATTTGAAGTTTATCAGATAAAAAAGTATAGAATTTAAAGTGTTATGGTCCATTTTTAGATTGTATTTCAAGCAACCACCTTGATGATTCAGTGCTGTAATTCAAACTCTGTTTGCTCCAGACATTGGAAAACAAGATGCTGTTTATAAATTGAATAATTAAGTAAAGGTGGCATGGTTCATTTTACCACAGCTATGTGAGCCTATTGTTATCCAAATAGACTTTATGGGTCAAATATTTAGTTAGACCTCAAAGTTGAACTCTTAAGTGTTGAGAGTGTCTGAATTTGTTAAGAGGATTATAATACCAGTATTTAATTTGACTAACACTTGATGTGTATTAGTACTTCAAGTCTAAACAGTAATTCACTAATTGATTGACAGAGTTATAAGCCAGCTTCCGACTGATTCAATGACTTCATTTGTTTTACATTATTTTAACTCCCTTTATTGTGTAAAGTACATTTAATTACAAATTGACTGTAATAGTATGAATGTCTTCGTAAGAAAAAAAAAATGCATTGCTAAAGCCGGACTTTTTTAATAAACATTATAATGAAGCCTGGGTGTATAAATTATAATAACAAAACTACAGATTTTTTTTTCGTTAATAAAATATATTATTAATATATAAATGTTTAATTCTGAATAATTAGGAAACATTTTAAGGACTGTCAAGAGCTTTTTTGGATTGTAACAAACAATGACTCTTCCACGAAACATTTGTAAACTTAAAAATATACTTTTCCGTGACGGTTTTAAAATATAAAGAATTTTTTTTTATAAGTAGTTGCCCTGCCCATCTTTTTACCACATAATTATATTAAGTTGTCATATATAATGACAAACATTAAATAGTTTGTCAGTGAAGTGGGAGGGAAGAGTGGTTTTACTTTATATTATGGAAAAAATATACAAATAATTTCAGATTGTGAATATTTCTCCATTATCTCAATTAGGAATGTAAAATGTATATATTTTGTTTTTTTGTTGTTTTTTTGTGTGAAAATTTCTTAATTATTTGAAGGTATCTAGCTTTAAAATTCTGTGAAAATGTTCTCTTATTAACACTGATTTGCAAGATATGACAAAATGATCAACTCTTAACTGATGACATTATTGGCCTGTTAGATGCTTATAATGTAACCTTAAATAATTTAGATGTAATTTGTATACTGGACATGTAGTGCAAGTATTTTGGACTTTTGAACTATATACCCTAATTGGGTGGGAATGGGGATTATATAATGCTTAAATTTACAAATTGACATGCAGGGGTATTTTCAACTATAATATTTGGGAGAAAGACCCTTGGCTTAAATTGGGGGAAAAAGTGGCATTTCATAAATTTGAGAAATTTTCAAATGTTGATAAGCTACAATAAATGACTTAAGTTTTATTCATATGACATATATGATCATATAACCTTCAATTAAGATTGTTTCTTAATTGTCATCAATTTTCTCAGAAATTGAAAGTGTTAAAACAATTTACAGCAGTTTGGACCACCCCTCCCCCCAAAAAAAAGATAAGAAGAAAAAAAATGCAAATATATAACCAGAGTCATTCATCTTAAGTCACTGATTCATGTGAATTGTAAAAGTATAAAAAAGGAGTTTTTCTTCAGTATAGCAGGTTTGAATGGAACATTATCAAAAAACACCTTTTTGGTAAACACTGCCCTCTGGTATCACTTGAGCTATAAGTGTAACTAACTAACAAACAGATTTCCTGGGACTGTTTTGAATAATTTATTTAATTGTGGAGCAGCATCCTTCTCTAGTATTACATGGTTTTGTTATTTACAACTGCAGAAGTTAAATGATTGCCAGTTGTCTGTTCCCAGACAAAATCAATATGTTGTTTCCTTTGCATCCAAGATTTATAATTTTGACTTTTGCAGTTGAGATTATTCTAGAGTATTAATAACCTTTGCATTTGAGATATTTAGATAATTGAAAATTATATATGAGCCGTGTCATGACAAAACCAACAATGGCTTTGCGACCAGCATGGATCCAGACCAGCCTGCGCATTTGCGCAGTCGAATGCGCAGTCTGATCAGGATCCATGCTGTTCGCTATCAGTTTCTCTACTTGTAATAGAGTTGGTAAGCGAACAGCATGAATCCTGATCAGACTGCACGGAGGCGCAGGCTGGTCTGGATCCATGCTGGTTGCAAACGCACTATGTTGGTTTTGTCATAGCGCAGCTCATATATATTAGATTAATTTCTCTGTAGTATTATGTAAGCTAGATGAAATGATTAATTTCTCGAGTGTCAGTTTTTATCTATATACATGTATACATATACATGTATATACTAAGTATTTCATCAAGAAAGGAATTAATGTACAATATTTCTTTATAATTTGATCCCCATAGGAATATATATATACTAATTGTCCTTGCAAGTTTTTGAAGCGGATCAACAGCAATAATTTCTGTCATGAAACAAAAAAAAAGCTGGTTGTAAAATACAAGAAAAAAATCACTGCTTATATAATGTGGTCATGTGCATCATATATTTAAAACACTGAAATGTGACCATGTGTATTAATTTTCTTTGAAAATTGTGAATATCAGCGGCTGACTGAGGAACAGTATGAAATTATTACATGATCAGTATTTATGCCCTTGCCATGTGATTACAGACAAACTAATTCTGAAAATGCTGTTTGCTGGTGTTCATAGATACAAAGTTTTTCTTTGGCAACTTTGTATATATATTTACAAAGTTTGAACAAGGGATAGGTCAGTCAGTTAGATTTCACCATATGGTACTATGTAAATCACCTGGTAATGTTTGTGCATTGTTTGTAATACATCAGAGAATTAAGGTTTTTATGTTTTTAATTAATATATGCATTTATATTATTAAAATTAAAAATTAATGGTTTGGGAAAAAAATCACATTATTATATGTTGCCACTAAATTCCTATGCATACTCTGAAAACTCACAACAAATATCAAACTTTAATATGCCACGAAATTGGTCAGTATTATGTAACCCCCAGATTGCAGACAATTTATGTATGGTAGCATTAGCAACTGATGAGAAAGGTTTGAAACAACTAGTAAGATGTCTGGCTGATGTGCTCCTTTATTTAACAAATAAGTTCCAGATATTATAGTGATGTAACATGAATATATACTGGAATGTTTTATCAATGGATTCATTATCTTGTAACTTAGATAAGGAACATGGGGCCTATAATACTTGCAATTCCATGAGATTGTTTATTATATTGTAGTTCCAATACATACATGTAACTATGATATATCCACCTGTCCTACACTTAAAATCCAACAACATTTCAAACCACAAAGACTGTCAGAGAGTGAAATACTGTAAATTAATGTTTGTGTTGTTATAATTTATTACTGATTACAAAATGTTTCTCATATATACAAAATAATATGACTGTTCTCATTTTTGAAACAGTATTTGCATGCAATAATATTACCAGTTTAAAGAAGGAGGGACTGTTTGGCTGTGGCTGTCACTAAGGTGATTAAGATGTGCCATTGACTTACTCAACCCAGGAATGGCCAGGGTTTGAAGCCTTAATTAAATTGAGTAACTGTCAATGACATGTTGTCTCACAGGGTCTTCATAATTAACAGATTGGTGGTCCATATCATCAAAAATCAGTTGTATTTTCGTCCTGTAGATTAAAATATCCCCATTGACCCCTGGCCAAATCTGTTGTTTTTACTGGCTCTTCAGATCTGTTGCCTCAGATAAAAATGAAAATCCTAGTCCTCATACTGACACCAGTACAGTGTATAAAATTTGAAACTGGTA